TATATGTCTCATGAAAGGTAGCCATGTTTCATCATGGACAGCGTGGGCAGTAGAAAGTTGGAAGCTTTCCTCCTGGGATTCATCATCATCACCCATTTCAGCATCCTGATCCTCCAACGTCGGCTCCTGGTTCCCCAGAGCTTCGGAAAGTCCCGGGTCATCTTTTCCAAAAGTCGTTCTGCCTTGGAGAGGAAATTGGGTGTCACTCGGCTTGTTGATCTTGATTACCCGCAAGATTGATGCAGTACCATTGGATTCGTTTTCAATAAGATCCTTTGTAGGTACAACCATGAATTCTTTTCTCCACATGAATTCTGGGTGAATGGCATAGCCAAGGAATAAACCAGGGCTCGATGTTGGGTCGAAACGAAGTCCTTCTTTGTTCTTCTTTCTCGGACCATTCCAATAGTCAATAAGACAACCAAAAGGAATGAGGGGACCATCAAACCTCGATCCAAAACGTAATTCCCATGGTGACTTGTCTCCCCCCGTTGCAATGACATTCTGCATGAAGCACCAATGTCGGGCAGCATGTGGCCAGTGCCAATGATTCAGACCTGCTTGGAGCAGATTGACACGAGTGCCTTCGAGGACTGACCGGACTGCTCTCTCGGCTTGGGCGTTGGACTTGGATATGTAGTCTCTACTTAAAACATGACGGCACTGAAGGATCTTCATTGCTGAGATCAACTCGGGCGCATTGTCACTGTAGAAAACTCCTATCTTATCTTCATGTCCAACGAAGTGTTTGATTGCCAAAATAGCAGCATTGGTGGTTCGTCTGGCATTGGGGTAGACATACATAAATCCTGTTGCTATGTCCTTCACTACGAGTGCACTTTTCTCATCATCGATTCCCAACTCATCTTCATCTCTGGTGACGATAAAATCAGCAGTGATGTGGTCACCAAATTTCTCGGCTTTAACTTTGGTTGATCCGCCTACAGCTCTTGAGGGTGGCTTGAACATCTTAGCTCTGGCACATATGTCGCAAAAGGGGTTCTTAGGGATGTGAGTCAGCATATGTCGAATGGACTTGGCTTCCTCTTTCAATTCTTTCTCCCCAAGTGACCTTTTGTGAGCACCATCATCATGGACATTACTACTGCTACCCTTGGATCCTTCCACAGGCGGCTCAACCTCCCGGTCGGCATCAGGAACATCAACCTCCTCAGCCTCCAAGGGCTGGGGCTCCGGTAAATCAACATTGATACCCATGGGGTCATCACCAATGATTTCAATTTCCCCATCGGGCTCCGGAGATTGTTGAGCTTCATCTGATGCCGGGGTGGCGATACTTGGTCTAGGCTGAGTTGATGGAGTGGACATCGTCTTTGAATTGTTTGCAAAGTAGGGTACATAATCTCTGACAACTAACTCAATGCGTTCCCCATTTGGTTTGACCATGTAAGGAGGTTCACCTTTGGATCCTCTCCATATGAAGTCGTAACCATCATCAATGCACCTCATCCCGACTGAAATGACAGGAGGCGAGCTTCGAACAAGATATGGGTCAATGGTCTTGCCTAACTTCGGAACGAATACTTTCCCTTGTTTCGACGATGAACTTTCGCCATTGGCGGTAATCATACGAATGGGATTGTTGGAGTAGTATCCATAGTCATCTGGCAACTCATTATCATTGACAAGATCTTGTGCACTCCCCGTATCTGCTATCCAGTCAAGTTCGAGATTGATCGCTCCCTTCACGTCTTCTCTACATTCCGCAGGGGTGGCTTTGATTCCCTTTGGGATACATTCATTGCAACCAAAATCTGTGTCACACAAATAGGCACATTTGCATTCAACTCCCCGAAGACAATTGGAAACAGATCCAGCTAACATGGTACCGGTCAAAGCGGCATCACTTACAGCAAGTTGATCAACTTCAAATTGATGTCCCCATGGAAAGGTAACCTTATCCTTGGTGACTGCGTTTCCAATTGGCCTCAGGTTCCCCCGGACTTTCACAAGAGATACGTCCGGTGAATCATCAAAACGAATCGATGGACAAACTACTCTTGTCTGAGGGATACAAAATGCCTGAGACACGGATGCAAGCATGGATGCAACAAGACAAACTGCGGCAGGAGACGGCTTAGATGAACTGGCCCCGGATCCTTTAGACTTCGGGGACTTCGGGCTCTTGGGGCTCTTAGAGCGGCTAGAGCTTCGGGATCCCTTCCTTTTCGGGTTCTTAGGGTTTTTCTTTTTATTTTTGCTTTCGCTACTGGCCGAACGGGCAGGAGTAGCTTGTCTTGGTTTTCCCACTGAACCCTCATGAAGGAATTTGCAATCAGCTCCTCTATCACAACGTCCCTGTCTCCAAAACTTGCAAATTTTCTTACCTTTCCCCTTTGGCTTGGGAGAACCAGAACGTTCGGTAGAGCGACCTCTGGTTTTGCTGGGTTTGCGACTTCTGTCACGTGGCTTGGGGACTTCATGCTTGTATGTACAGTTGTCCTTGCTACAGCCTCCCTTATTCCATGCCACACAATACCCCTTTGGGATAAATCCTGTCTTGCCCTCGACTGCGGGAGCGGAGGGACGACCGGAACCCAAAAGACCTTTGGCAACTCGATCACGATTTGCCTCCAACCTCTCACGGTCAAGGTGGCGTCGCACGGCAGAAACAAGGAAACTGTAGTTTCGTTTCTCGGTTCCTTCATCAGCTCTATGATACTCATTCATGTCATGTTGGATGGCCTTGCAATTCTTCACTTGTTTGTAGAAGAGTGTCTCCAATACACTTACATCAGGAGTCTGTACGATACCAGCCAACACTTGATCCCAGTTCGAAATGAAAGACTTCAAATTCTCCCCACGCAATTGGACACTGAACAAATCTTGGAGGGCATAGGTCGCTCCGTGCTTGATGTTAGTACTGAAGTGGTCATGCAACATGAACAACACTTGTCTCCCTCTTACAATTCGTCCAGCGGTGGCTTCTGTCTCTTTGAAGGTATCTACCTTACGGGCGAAGTCACCAGTGATGATGTTTGTGAGTGCAGAAAGTAACTTTGCATCAAGTGTCGCAAACGGCGCAACCTTCCGGAGCGCTTCAAGAGTCTGCTCTTCCTTCCAAGAATCACTAACCCATTTGAAAGCACTGTCGGGATCGGTTGATGCTGCTACAACTGCTTCTCTGGTCTTGATTCTCCAATTACGATAGGTTTCTGCCAATGGGAATGCTGGGATCTTGATAGTGTCAGCCTCCTTGACTTTGGGTTTGTCATCCTGCCTTGGATCAATGTAACCACCAAGAAACTTGATCATTCTTCGCCTGAACTTCTCATCATCATCATCATCGGGATCTTCATAACCATCGTCACCGCCGTCAGGGGGATTAGGACCATCCCTTTTCTTTCTGGGTACCTTACGGTTCTTATCCCCTTCAGGCTTATCATTTGGATCAGGTGGTGATGATGGTCCACCTCCCCCGTTCCCTCCGTTGCCATCTCCTCCATCCCCAGGATCGTCCCCTTCAGGTGCATCATCGCCCCCCGGCTCGAAGTAGTCAATGTCTTCAGGGCCTAGTTCGGTCGGGGTGTATAGATTGGTCGGTGCAGGGGAATTGACCTTATCTGTGGGATGGTTATCACGGCGTCGAGTGGTGGCCTCTCCTCCCGAAGGGCGTTCATCCATGGACGACCTTGCAATGTCCGATTCCTTCTTCACATGAATTGGAACTTGATATGATGGATCATGATAAATGATTTCAATACCATCCTTTTCATAAGTCTCAGTACCAGGTGAAGTAAAGTTAATCGGTGTTCTTGGAATAGGAGGTCGGGCAACATTCGTCGGAGGTGCTGCGGGTGCAGCCTTGCGGGTCGGTGGAACAAACTCAAAGTTTGGGATCTCCGTTGATGCATGAGTTCCGGCTGTGATGGTCATGGCGGCAGTTTCAACAATCGGGCTTGGACGAACCTGAGCAAATTGTGAATCGAGCATACTTTGCAGTTTCAGATTATGTTGCATCTGGGCTTGTACCATGTGTTCAAGCTGTGTGATGCGCTCATTCTGAACCCTTCTCTCTTCTTCAGCTGCTCTTTTCAACTCAAGGATCTCTTGCTCCTTACTTGATAGTGATTGTCGATGGTTAGCATCAATGACACGTTGATATGCCTGAATTTTCTCATTCATCTGAGCTTCACGGAACCTTACATGTTCATGCGCCTCATGCTGTAAGTTCTCTTTATATTGGGCACCCGCATTTAAAAGTTCTTGTTCTTTGATTCTGATAGCATCAAGGGCCCTCTGACTTTCAATGCCCTCGCGGACTCGCAGAGCTTCCTTCAACTCCTCAGTCTTGGCCGTGTGGACAGCTTCGGCCTGAGCTTCGGTATGAGCCAACACCTCACGATGACGGAGCTCGGCCGCTGTTTCCACAAGGCTTGTCATTGCAGGATCATGCGAATGGACATGCAAGTTCTGCTCGACAAAATTCACTTGAGGATTATCCATTTGCACATTGTGATGAAACGTGTTGTGAACATTCATTTGGTTCAACTGGCGAGTCGGCGGCCCACCCTCCCGAGCGGCTTGGGGAACATAACCACGGTGGTTGAAACCCACATGGGAAGGCACAATTGCGTTACCCATAGGTGGGAGGTGGCGACGTTCCCTTAGGCTTCGTGACTTATCGGAAGATGGTGGGGTGCTTATATCAAAATTAAATGGGGTGTTACTGATAGGCAAGTTTCCTGGGTTAGCCATGGCGGCGTCAGAGGACATGCGCCCGGTGCCCTCGGTGGAAGAACCCGAGGGGGCAGACATTACCTACGAAAGAGAAACTAGCTTACGGCTGATAACCTGTTTGACAGGTTAAACAACCTCAAAGTGGCAGCAATAGCGCTTGTTTTGCTTGAGCCATACACACGAAGTAAGTAATGAATTATATTAGTATATACAGTGATATGTACAAGAAACAAAATATATATATATATATCCTTCATCATCTTTGTGGCTCCCTGGTGCAGCGATTTTCCCGACTGCTCCTCCTTCACCTTGGCTCGGTGGGTCTTCACTAGCCTCACCAGCTGTACCTGGTCCAAGTCGATTCACCGGAAAATTCTCAGTTAAATTTGCTGCTTCAGTGTCCTATAGTCCACTTCTCAATCCCTGCACTTTGCATGGCCTTTTTTTGCCTTCTTGCTGCGCAGTATTGATTGAAAAAGGAACCTTCATCTGGTGTTTCAAGTCCCTTCTCCATCCACTGCACAGCAGCAAAGTTGGTGGCATCTGACAATGGTAGCCTTAGAAATCATCAAAACTTTTGAAGATGTTGAAGCCCATAGTGTATCCATTGGTGACGGAATTCTCATGATTTCTCCCTGAGTACCCTGAAGTCCAGCACCCACCGGCACCAGTTCCCAGAAGGTGATCATTGTCTTCGGCCTCCGAACGTCTGGCTTCACGCCTGCCTGCAAGGTTTAGACAGGAAATTCAGTAAAACTCAAGAACTGCTGGTAGAAATGATCAGCTCGGCCATCTCATCCACATTCGGGAAGCCATTCGCTGGTCTATGAGGGTGAAACATGCAATCAGGTATGGTTAAAATCATCAGTTGATGGATGTTGATCTGAACACAACAACTTGTGCATCATCGGATTCATTCGGATTGCAGTTTCATTCCATCGTGGGGGGCACCTCAGCTGCCAGTTGCCGTGCTTCTTCCAGTTGGTCCAGAACTTCCTGTCGTTCTGCCCTGGTCCTGTCAATTGCATTCAGCATCATTCAGCTATATTCAGCTAATAGCTTTCGGCTTTCAAAGAAAAATCCCGAAGACTTCCAGCATCACTCCCAATCACATTCCCAATATACAGCATCACTCGAATTTTATCCCCACTATTCCTTAAGAAATGCATTTCCATGAGGTCCTGAGCTTCAACCCGAAGTCATTCAGCAATTCCTGAACCTGCAAACCACTGTGGCTCCAACAAATGGCCGGCAATACTACCTGAAACATCCTGAAACGTTGATAATTGATAAACCATGATCCCAATGGATCTGACTACACAAAGAACCTATGAAAACATGAAGGTGGTATCTCAAAATTTGTCGAACTGACGCCAACATGTGTGTGTGTGGATCGTCCGTCAGTGCAAAGTCGCTTTTCTTGCCTCGAAGGAGTCAATGTCGCCACTGCCGTCTTTGTCATAGTGACCGAACATCTCCTGGTTGGCAATCACAAAGTGATGTTGAAGTCAGTTGAACTCACAAACAGCATCAGTCACCCACATTCATGCAGCACTCTCTCTCTCTTTCTCTCTCTCTCTCTCTCTCCCCCTCTCTCTGTGCCATCAGCCTATTGCCCTCTGTAATTTACCTCGTGCTTTGAGGCTCTCCTCTAGGCTATCAATCTCAGTAGAAGAAAAGCCAGCCTTAGATGAAATGACTCTGAAGTGATGTCAAACATTGTCACACCAAGGCTGGAAGCCAGGAACGTGTCTTTGCCAAGTTCCCTGACCATACGTCGCTCTGAGACCACCTTCGTCCACCGCGCTGTGTCAGCGAGAGTTACAAACTCCTGGTGGAATTTTCGGCCGCGTTTGCAGGTTCAACATGGTTCAATGGTTCAATGGTTCAAGTAGAATTGTACAAATAGAACTGAACAAGAGCAGACTCGACCATGATCAAACTGGTCGATGTAGATTCAATCTTTCAAGTGAACATGTTTGATGCAAGAGTTGGATTACAAACGCTTCTGATGTCAATCCTCAAAGTCAAGCTTGTCTGACCTCGAACATGCCACTTGATTATCAAACGGGATGGGGTCACTGAGTCACTGAGCAACCGTCAAGATAATCCGTGCAGCCTTTGACATCCTTTGGTTTGGAATCCCCATTGCGTGATCAAACCGCTCATGGAAAAATCCGCCCGCACCGAAGGTGCTGGGGCGTGATCTTCCGGATGGCACTCGTAAAAGGTTACAGGTTTACCTGCGGGGGGGGGGGGCATTTTTCGGCCAAAACCTCCTGTTTTTGATAGGTCGTGACGCTCGCCTTCAAAAAACACTGTAAAAAACAGTACGGAAGACACCTGTTCGTGAACGCGCCCGTCCAAAATCGGCAAGCGAAAAGTGAAAAAAACCCGTGTTTTTCAACTTTTTGACCTCAATTTTTTGGTTTGCAACATCTTTTTTTGCGGTTCCGCAGGTGGCCTGGCCCGGAGGCGGATTTTTGAGTTTTTGGACCCGTTTTCGGACTGATTTTCGTCGTTTTGTGATAGCAGAAACACTGGTTTTTACAGTGTTTTTCTGTTTTCTGCATGCTTGACGGCTAGCTTCAAAACTTCCAAAAACCTCGTAAATTACGCTGTTTTATGTTACGGTGTGAATGAAAACATCGTAAATACCAGTGTTTTTTGACGTTGGTTAAAAAAACACTGTAAATTACAGTGTTTTTGGCCACCTGACCCTCAAAAACCATGGTATTTGCAGTGGTTTCTGCTTCTCACCGCGCAAAAACACTGTAAATAAGAGCAATTTCGCCGTTTTTTTCATGTTTTTCGTTATTTTTTGAACTGCGCTGGTCCGCTATACATGGCTATCAAATTCTTCGCGTGTTTTTTTCCGACAATCAGTACTTTCGGATGTTTTTGGTCTCAATGGCCGACATCATTGGCAGTTACGAACGATGCGGTGCGGGCGGTTGCCGTCGCGAAGCGACGTGAATAAATTCACACTGCCTGCTCTCAGAAGTGCCTCAATCACCTGACTACCATACTATAACAATAATACTGTATAATAATATACTAACACAATAATAATACAATAATAAATCTAATTTTCCTGTATGTTCATTTCAGAATTGCAGATGCGTCTGTTCTGTTCTTTCCTGCCAAGACATCTCTGAGGATGTCACGCATTGTGCAGCAAGACTTGCGCAGGAACTTCTTCACACATGTACTCCTGCAAAGGCCCAACTGAACACATTTGCTGTAGAAAGATCAGCTTCATATGAGCATGATGGGAATGATCTGGTATCCAAAAATCTGGTCGATTCTGGTTGATCATCATTTTCCCTTCTAAAGTGACCACTCTATCACCCTGGGGTATACATTTTCAGACATACCCATCACGTCTCCGTCTCGCACCTGGAGCCCTGGCTTCACATCCAGAGCACTGATCTCGTCCTGGGTAGATGCAAGGCGTGCTGCTCTGCTACTGTGCTGCTCTGCTACTGTGCTGCTCTGCTACTCTGTACCCTGCACCCCATGGTTTTGATCTGCGTTTGCTACCTGAAAATGAGATAAAATGAGGATATCCTGCACTGTGACGCAGGCGCGACTTTTTCAGATGACGCGATTCGCATCTCTCTGAATCGCGCGATTCAGCCCCGCCAGGCGCCTCATCTGCGGCTTCGCAACTTCTTCGGCTGCGGTGCAACATCACTATCTGAGTCGAGTCCCCCATCAGCATCTGAAAAGTCATCGTCCTCATCCTCTTGATACATAGGATCATCAACCATTCTGCGGATCGGTGATGGCGATCTGGCAGATTCGCTTTTGCTTGCTTTCAAACGCTTTTTCACCTCATCAGGTTCTTTGATCTTCGATTTGAGTTCCTCACTCTGATCAAAGAAGTTGAAGACAGCTTCTTGGTGCTCCTTTGGTATCTGCTTGAACTCCACAGCTCTGTCTCCGGCAAAGGTCAGCACCAGCTCGAAGGTGTTCTTGCGCATCAAGGCATCTTTGAACTCAACAGCCTCCAACCTGTTCAATGGTCTCCAAAACATCGGCTTGGGAACAAACAAAAGCTGCTTCTGGAAGAAGAACAAATGCCCAGTGTCGGTGATCAACGAACATGACACGCTGCTCGTCCCATCCGGCACCTGAAAGCGACTGGTTGGTTTGAAGACGTTCTGTCCGCTCATTTCCTTCAACAAGCAGGCGACAGCTTCAAACGTCGGCACCTCGTCATCATTCAATTCCGCAGGCCGGCTTTTCTCTAAGCCATTGCGTTGAGCGGTATCCCAGGCGTCCTTCGGAACACAGACACTGATATCCGAAACCGCCCGGATCTCAAATTTGATTCCGATCATGTTGTACTCGATGTTGCCATTTCGAAGTGGTGGTGCAACACCAACGGCCAGCATCTTGTGTTTTTTGTCTGGCAGATCAACCTGCAAGATCTTTTTGATGCTGGACCACTTCACAAGGTAAGTTTGACTCTTGCCACGGATCTGTAGCATCTCTGGAAAGAATTGAAGATCATGCTTCCCCCTTGGCATGACCAAACTGATGTCTGTGAATTGCCCCAGCATCACAGCGGCAGAATCCACATTGCTCTTCCTGACCAACTCATCTCGCCATTGTTCGGCAGACTTTCCAGCAGATCCTTCACCTGCTGATCCACCGGGCACAAAGAAACGAATGCCTTGGAGCACTTCACGGTCATCCTGCAGCTGGAGATTCAGCTCGTTCCCCATGGAGGTCACCAGGTTGAGTTCTGCTGTGTCCACTTCCATCAAAAGCCGATCTCCAGAAGTCAGACGAAGCGAGTCGTCCTTTAACTCCAGATCTGCCCATGACCAGCCTTTCATGGCAGGGCAAAACTCCACCAGTTTGATTTTGAAGCAGTTCAGGAGGTGCTCCTTGATTTTCTGCAAATTTGCAATCTCAAAGTCTGCGAAGCGAACTGTCTCTTTGGCCTTGAATCGTAGCTTTAGAAGGCCATGACCACCACCACAGGAAGAATGCCACTCAGCGGACTGAAGATCTTTGCCCTCCCATTGGTGCTGACTAGATCCATCTGGACCACTAACGCATTTCCAGCCCAGCTGTTTTTCACCCAGCCGGAATGCCCCCATTCCAGCCTTCCCGACATATCTGACTGACTCAACTGTCAGTTCCCGAGGCGACATGGCTTGGCCCGCAGCTATGTACAAGGGGCAGTGGGGTGACTGATTTCCTGTGTCAATTGTCTGCTTTGGTACAACTCAACCAATGTCTTTGCCTTCAAGAGTGCAGTGCCATCAAACATGAGGGACAGACTGTAGGCACTGAGGTGACTTAATTGTAGCGCATGCGTTTCCTGTCAAAGGCCTTTGAATAAAACTCAGAAGAGCAGAAATCAGCAAGTGAAGCCAAATGAATAAACAATTTGGCAAAGTCAAAATAGCTTTGTCAGCAGTGACGTGACCTGGTTTGGATATGCTTGGATTGGGTTGGCATGCGATCACATTGAGACTAAGGTGCTAACCCCGGAATCACATCGCTGCTCAAAGATATCGCGAAGCCTCACCAAGACAACACAACATAGGCATCAGTCAACATGAAACATGGTTAATCATTTCTCCATGGCAGGTGGGATTTCCTGGGAATGGAATCAGATTGAATCAGAAATGGTTTCCATGCCAGGAAGAAGCCCCATTTTTTGAAGAAGTCTGACATAGTCTGACAGCCCTCAATCCGGGAGACCTGCACATTTTACCACACGATGCCACCTCTTCAACTCGCTTTCTCGATGCAGCCGCATGAGCCGCAGAAACCTGTCGACTGCCAAAGCAATGGATCCCAGTCGCTTTGGGTGTGTAATCCCATGTAATCCCCCAAATGATAGAAGTTTAAAATGTTGTAAATTCCTATTCAAACAAATGGTACAGTAAATTTGAGTGTTCTATCTTTTGATAATATATATATACATAATATATATAATATAATATAATATAATATAGTATAATATAATGTAATATAATATAATATAGTATAATATAATATAATATAGTATAATATAATGTAATATAATATAATATAATACAATATAATACAATATAATATAATATAATATATATATATATGAATGTTAAGTTATATATATATATATACATATACATTCGCAAAAATGAAACAAATCTTTAGTTGCGTAATTTTGACCCACACCGCTGCTGGACTGAGCTCAAAGCTCGTTGCAGTCCAGTGTACCGTTGCGATTGACATCGACCTGACCAGAAATGGACGGGAGGAAACTTCTGTTTTGAATAGTTCAAGATTCAATATGTTTGAACTACAAATGTGTGGATTTGTGTGCCTGGATGTAAGTATGAACCCAGTGGTGTATGCAACCAGCAAAGTATGACCTGGTTCTATCTTTGAAGCCTACTGAACGAATTCGCACCTGCGCCAGAAGCATGTAGAGGTTGTCAGTTCCTGCAACAAAAATTGAAAAGGCGTCATCAAGCAGTGCATATCTTGTGGTGTAATGATGAACCCCACCAAAAATAAGAGCGTTCGCAAGGTCATTTCCCGAGATGGCTCCTACGCTGAATCCCAGGTAACGCAACATGTCCCCGAGCTCATGCACATTGATATTATCAGACCTGGACAGCAACGGCAAGCAGTTCCCAAGACTTCGTGCAAAATCCTTCTATGTTTTCGTAGGGATTCCGATATGTAACGGTTCAATCATCCTCAGCAAAGCCCCAGTACAAGCGGAGATGCAATGTGATTCAGGTGATATGTACATCGATTTCCAGCCCTCTTCCATCTTTCATGATGTCTAAGCGTCTAACCGTCTTACCCGAATGAAAGAAGATTTACCACAAACGCCCACAAATGCCGGCAATCTCAGATGTTGGCATATCTCGATCAAACTTCCGAAACACCGCTTCATATTCATCCAGCTCCTGCAACAGCATGCAATCATTGATGCCATCCATTTTTGGAGGTCTTTGGGAAGCCTACCAGGTGCCTCAAGCGAAACGAGGTAGTAAATTCATGATTCATATGTATGTGTATATATGATATTGATACATGTATATATATATATATATATATATGTAATTATACATATGATTATATAGATAAATATTCGATGCGTATAGACTGTATAGATATGTTGTGAGAAGTTCCCATAGAATCGGCAGGAAAAAACAATTCAGCAAGAACAAGTTTCATCTGGTGCTTCGAAAGGTTCGTCTACCCATTGGAGCTGGACAACTGCAACTTCAAAAGCAAGATGTGCATCAACGGCAGCGTCCTGTTGGCTAAAGCCATCACGCTGCTTGAAGACTAGCATAAAGTGGAAGAACTCCTGCGCTTTTTGTTTGCCGACAGATACTCTAGCAGTGTACAAGAAGACCGAAGTGTGCATCTGTCTGGAAATCAGAATCCTCAAAGTCCAATTCAGCATCGGATTCAAAGTCCACCTCAAAGTTAAATCAAAGGATCAAACAGGACGACCACATACGACCACTACACTAAGGAAAACAACCGGCAAGTCGTACACTCACAGCTCACTTCTTGTGGCAGGAACACGTGTGCGGCTTGGGGATCTGGGGAAAGGATCTGAACATGCTTCTGGTATCGACTGTCGACCAGTCGGTGCCACGGTTTGCACAGTCGACTCTTCGGACAGCAAGAAAGCTTGGACCATCGACATCAGATGCCCCAGTGCCTCCTGCAAAACTTCGTCGATGACAACCCGCATTGGCTGGTAGCCCAACGCTTGTCTTAGCATCAATGCGAAGGAAGACTTGTATGGGCAGAGATTGGAAAAATGCATAGATCGCAACGGCAACAATTTGCATTTTTTTCTAAACCGTCCTAGCACTTTGCGCTTGCGCTTGGTGAGAGCTAACTCAGAGCTGGACAGCACATGTCGAAGCTCCGATGCATTGATGTTCCCACTCTTATCCTGGCAACGGAAGTGTCTCTCATGGTCCAATCTCGATTATGGGTTTGTCTTACAACTATATAATATACATATATATATATATATGCTAACCCCCCCCCCCTGATACCTACTTTTTACTGTTAATTCCTTCCTTTCTTCGTAACTACATCTGTGCTGGCAGCAAGTTATTTGCAAGAACCATGTGGGTTACATGCTTGAGGGAGCGTGGGTTCAAAAGGATGAAGCTATGAAGGCTTTGCACAAAGTGCTGCGTTACAAGTTCTCACTTGGGCAAACTACAGCAAGTACTTTGCACGAATCACGGTCACATGCTTGAGGGAGGGTGGGCTCAAAAGGATGAAGCTGATTCAAAAGGATGAAGCTATGAAGGCTTTGCACAAAGTGCTGCGTTACAAGTTCTCACTTGGGCAAACTACAGCAAGTACTTTGCACGAATCACGGTTACATGCTTGAGGGAGGGTGGGTTCAAAAGGATGAAGCTATGAAGCCTTTGCACAAAGTGCTGCGTTACAAGTTCTCACTTGGGCAAACTACAGCCAGTACTTTGCACGAACCACGTGGTTCACGTGCTTGACACTTTAGGAAGGGTGGATTCAAAAGGATGAAGCTGTTGAGGCATAACATTATATTGAGGTAAAGAGTGGCACTTGCCTACAAAGCCTGCCACCGAAGATCCAAGATCCAAGATTCCCAGAAAATTTTTCTTGGATGCAGGCTGGAAATCTTGGATGCACCCAAGATCCAAGATCCAAGATTTCCAGAAAACTTTTCTTGGAAATCTTGGAAATCTTGGGATAAACCCAAGATCCAAGATCTTGGGTGCATCCAAGATTCTGCAAGTGCATCCAAGAAAAGTTGTCTGGAAATCTTGGATCTTGGATCTTGGGTGCATCCAAGATTTCCAGGGCATGTAGGAGCTTTCGTGAGGCGTCAGGACTCCAGCTGCCCAGCAATCCGACAGGGGCCAGTCGGAGTCCTTTCTGAATGTTGCAGACCATTGCCGCTAGGTGCTTTCGCGCAAGTGGTTGTCTACTTTCATGTACTGCATGGTCCCCGGCGAGGACTTGATTCAGCAGCATTTGTAGGTTGTCTGCAGGTCCCCCACCAGGTCCCCCAGGAGCCGCCGCGCCATCCTGTGCCACCGACAAGACAACAACGGCCTGATTGTCGCGCAGAAGCACACTTCCGGCAACGGGGATCGACATGAGGCCGGATGCGATGACACGAGGATACGAGATCTCAACAAGCCAAGAGCGAAGCTCAGACCGAGGCACACGGACATTGTTTGTCGGAGAGTTTCTGTCTACACATGTGTACACTGATCTCAAGTCTGAACTGAAGTCTGAACTCAAGCCTCAAAGCCTGCCACCGAAGATCCAAGATCCAAGATTCCCAGATTTTTTTTCTTGGATGCAGGCTGGAAATCTTGGATGCACCCAAGATCCAAGATCCAAGATTTCCAGAAAACTTTTCTTGGAAATCTTGGAAATCTTGGGATAAACCCAAGATCCAAGATCTTGGGTGCATCCAAGATTCTGCAAGTGCATCCAAGAAAAGTTGTCTGGAAATCTTGGATCTTGGATCTTGGGTGCATCCAAGATTTCCAGCCTGCATCCAAGAAAAATTTTCTGGGAATCTTGGATCTTGGATCTTGGGTGCATCCAAGATTCTGCAAGTGCATCCAAGAAAAGTTTTCTGGAAATCTTGGATCTTGGATCTTGGGTTTATCCCAAGATTTCCAAGAAAAGCTTTCTGGAAATCTTGGATCTTGGATCTTGGGTAGCAGGAATCGAGACTATGACACTCAAGTCTGAAGTCAAGTCTGAACTCAAGTCTGAACTCATGTCTCAAGAAACTCAATATAAAAAGCTTTCTGGAAATCTTGGATCTTGGATCTTGGGTAGCAGGAATCGAGACTATGACACTCAAGTCTGAAGTCAAGTCTGAACTCAAGTCTGAACTCATGTCTCAAGAAACTCAATATAAAAAACCTATCAAATTCAACATATGAAAATAAGCAAATTATACTGTAATTTACAGTATAAATCAAGGAAAGGTAGGTACCGGGGGGGGGGGGTACCATTCAAAAAAAAACATCCCGAAATCCCATGGTTCATCACATGTTTCCCCCAATAAAAATGACTCTTTTGGTCCCAAATCGCCAACTGCACCTGATCAAATCGCTCAAACTCCTGCCTGTAGTGAGCCTCCAGCTGGCTGCAGAGACACTGCTGGCTCAGCGTGAGCTAGGAACACTTAGAAAATTCATTAAAATCCATGTCAATGACATGCTATTGATGCAAAATGAACTATCCAACTATCCTTGTAGTCTCAAATGAACCATCCTCCCAGGGATCGAAATGCAAGCGTCCTGCTCACCCAGTCGGACGCTCCGGGCAAAGATCAGGAACTCGTGGAAGCTCAAGCCTTAAACAATACACTAGTACAGTAGTATAAACAATGTTAGATATATATATATATTATAGTTACAGTTATAGTTATCGTTATAGTTTTAGATATAGTTATACTTATATATAATTGTTATATATAATTGTTGTATATGATACATGCATATACAGAGTTCCAAAGCACAGCGCTGCGCAAGAATGCTGGGGATCAAAAGAATCAAGGCCACTCTGAGGTGCCAACCATCATTGGCGCCAGTATTCCTGCGCGAGAAATTCACAGAACCGCTAAGTCTATGTCATGTCGTGTGTAAACAGTGCAAGTCCAGATCTATGCAACGTTTGAGAGGAAGTCTGGAAGCACGAAGGATATATCATATATCGTAAAAGATCTGAAAGAATTCCAAGAAGTCCTGGAAAGGAAAAGTTTCTGTCAAAAACCTTTACTGCAGTATCATGCAGCAGTCCTTTTTCCACCACTTGCATTGTTGCAGAGCTTATGCCCAATGCCTCAGCACTAAGGTCACTGCAGTCTGTCCAGGTTTCTAACAGGTACCCCCAAGTCCAATGGATTGTTACCATTTTCCCCAAAATTGCAATTCGTCGATTCGTGGGTATATCACAGTATACCCAATGTATACCCCATTTTCAGACACAGGATAACACCTATAAACCATCTCCCCATTCTGATTGACGAGCTGAGTTTGAAACGCGCTGCGTGTGGCTCCGCATGAAGCCCAAAAAATGCGACCTGAGTTGTCAATGCTTTGACAATGTGGAAAGTTTGAGCTCAAAACAGCAACACCGTGCCATCCCACTGCATGACCCTCAGCTCGGCACAAGGGCATCAGAAAGGTCTTCACATCGCAGCGAAGTTCCCATTTTGAGCTTCATTGACTCTGCAACAAATCCCTGGTAGATGTCATGCATCCGCCTCACCTGCAAGAGAACGCAACACGGTTTCTTCTACACGAATAGAAAGAACTCATCAAATCTGAAGCAGTTGCAAAGACTTCAGGTCTGACCGGCCTCGTCCTTTGTAAAACCCTCAGTATGTTGATAGACCTGGGGACATGCTGGTTGCTCGCACACTGACTTTCCGCTCCACCATTTCATGACCATTGACAAGGTCAATGTTCAAGGCAAAATGTCTACGCAGTGGAAATGCACAAGAGCTGCATCTTGAGCAAGTTGAGTTTGTATGCGATTGAGTCTGGGCCCACTCGCCGTCAGGAAGTAAATGAATTCTTCAAAATTCCTTGGATAGGCCGGAAACTGCGGCCACCTGCGGCCATGAAAGAGCTTTATCAACCATAATGTGACGTGGCTTCAGTCCCCGTTGATAAAGAATCACAAAAGATCTCCCTAAATCCAGCAACATCTCTGTCTCCATCTCAATTGCAATCGAAATTCAACTGACCATTGCCGTCCGTGTCCACCACATCCAGGGCCTGACGCCATTGAAAGGAGGAACCATATGCTCAGCCAGTATTGGCCAACATGCTCAAATGCTCTGGGTGGTGTTGTGTGGAACAGTTAGTAGCTGCTGGTAGCTCCAGAACCAGCACAACCATCCCAATTGACCACCTCCTCAATCATCTGCCTCACCACAACGAAGCCGATGTTGGACAGTAACCTGGGCACAGGAAGACCGTTGCGACACCCAGCGGTGCCACAGATTGACACTTGCTGTCACTTGCCTCCATGAGACACTTGCTGTCACTTGCCTCCATGAGGTCATCAATGTCATCAATGTTTGGTCATGGTTGAACTAAACTGCCCTTCGGCATCCTTCAGCCATCTTCAGCCATCTTCCGCCAGGCTGCCATGTCAATGCTGCCAAGACACTTTCTGAGTTCACCGATCTCGATCTCACCGCTGCCTCGGTGTATGTGTTTTCCTCAACTTTCTTCGGAGAATGAATGGCACAAAGATGTGCAAAAACATCCTGCCAGGAATTGGCCAGGAAAAGGAAAGCGTCAAAGAATGGTGGCGATCGCTGCAGCCAGTGGAAATAGACTAATTAAGTTTCTTTCTGAAATCTGATTCCAGATTGCCACTGCATTTTCAGGCAAGGACCATCTTCGTCAAATTCATGGAACAAGACCTTGTAGCGCTCAAACTGCTGACGACTGTACCTGGATGCTGCGGATAGACCGACCATGTCTTGAGACTTGACAAGTGCCAAATATCAACAGAGCACCCAGAAACAGTCAGAGAGGGGGTCTATTCATGATGAGCACCGCTCTGTGCATCACCAAGTGGCCCACTATTCTTCCAACATCGCTTAATGAATCTCCAATGTCCCGTCAACTCTCAGGAATGCTTCCGCGGCACTTTTCAATGAACTCCAGGAACTCATTAAAATCCATCTCCTTAAATGACCTTGGTCGCAGCGGCTTTCCCAACTAGATCCAATTAGATTCACAACCTCAGGGTCTCCAAACACAGCAGCCCTCAATTCCAATAGAAGCGATATGGCAGTGGCAGCCATAGCTCTCCATGGCAAGTTTCTGATCACTTCAGATGTCCAGTGGAATGGGATGATCGGACAACCAATACTATCCAATAGCATTCTGTACTATCCAGTATGTATATATATAATTATATATATATAGAGAGAGAGAGGTATATATGGCATACAATAATGTATACCTGAGAAGGGGGGGGACGAAAGCCAGCCCCCAAAGCAATGTTCATGGTTTTTTTTGTCTCTGCGCTGAAGTATCTCGAAGTAAAGGCGGTTGCTAGTTGTTAGCATTCCACGATACTTTTAAAAACACAAACCTTTTTATACACGGACCCGTTTACGCATACACAGAATGTTGCACACAGACCCTTTTACACACAGACGCTTTTACACAGAAACATCTTGACACAGAGCCGCATCTGAAATCAAATGGAAACGGCCGTTTTGGGCCAAAGCCTAGCAAGAACCCTTTTGGAACCAGATTTTAAACTTTCGCGCCTTGCGGGCCGGCAATTGGATTTCCCTTCTGGGATCAAGGGGAAACGCTCGTTTTTAGCCACATCCTAGCCAGGAGCCTTTTGGAGCCAGCTTGTGGGACTTTCGCGGCTTGCGGGCCGGCAACTAAAAGGGCCTTCTGGGATCAAGGGGAAACGGCCGTTTTTAGCCAAATCCTGGCCGAAGTCTTTTGGACACAGCTTTTAAGACTTTCGCGGCTTGCGGGCCGGCAACTAAAAGTGCCTTCTGACACAGAAACTAACACACAGAGGCTTTTACATACAGACCCTTTTACACACAAACATCTTTACACCGAAAGGCTTTATACACAGTCGTAGTAGTAGCACACAGACTTTTTGACACACAAACATCTTGACACAGAAATGCTTTTACACACAGACCTTTTTACACACAGACACTTTTAAAAACACAAACCTTTTTACACACGGACCCGTTTACGCATACACAGAATGTTGCACACAGACCCTTTTACACACAGACGCTTTTACACAGAAACAGCTTGACACAGAGCCGCATCTGAAATCAAAGGAAACGGCCGTTTTGGGCCAAAGCCTAGCAAGAACCCTTTTGGAACCAGATTTTAGACTTTCGCGCCTTGGGGGCCGGCAATTGGATTTCCCTTCTGGGATCAAGGGGAAACGCTCGTTTCTAGCCACATCCTAGCCAGGAGCCTTTTGGAGCCAGCTTGTGGGACTTTCGCGGCTTGCGGGCCGGCAACTAAAAGGGCCTTCTGGGATCAAGGGGAAACGGCCGTTTTTAGCCAAATCCTGGCCGAAGCCTTTTGGACCCAGCTTTTGAGACTTTCGCGGCTTGCGGGCCGGCAACTAAAAGTGCCTTCTGGGCTCAAGGGGAAACGGCCGTTTTAGGCCAATGCCATTTGGCGGCCATTCGGCCGGCTATTGCATTTCGCTTTTGGGAAGAACGGGAAACGGCTACATATACAATTTTAGAACGAACAGCAAGCAAACAGAAGCTATGAACCAGCATTGTGAAGCTAAAAACACATAGACCCTTTTACACACAGACCCTTGCAGACTACACACAAACGTTTTTACACACAAACGCTTTTACACACAGACACTTTTTTACTTCGACACACAGATGCTTTTACACACAGACCCCTTTACAATAGCTTTACACAGAAACACGTTGACACAGAGACGCTTTTACAGACAAACAGCTTCACACAGATACACAGACGCTTTCACACACAGACCCGTGTACGCAGGGACAGCTTTACACACAGACGCTTTTACACATAGACCCTTTGACACGCAGACCCTTGCACACACAGACGCCGTGAGACATAGACGCTTTTTTCGCACAGACACTTTTTGACACACAAACATCTTGACACAGAAATGCTTTTACACAGAGACCTTTTTACACACAGACACTTTTAAACAGAAACCTTTTTACACACCGACCCTTTTACGCATACACAAAATGTTGCACACAGACCCTTTTACACACAGGCGCTTTTACACACAAACACTTTTACACACATACGCTTTTACACACAGAGGCTTTTACATACAGACCTTTTTACACACAAACATCCTTACACCGAAAGGCGTTTACACAGAGTCGTAGTAGCACACAGACTGTTGGACACACAAACATCTTGACACAGAAATGCTTTTACACGCAGACCTTTTTACACACAGACACTTTTAAACACGAACCTTTTTACACACGGACCCTTTTACGCATACACAGAATGTTGCAAACAGACCCTTTTACACACAGACGCTTTTACACACAAACACTTTTACATACATACGCTTTGACACACAGAGGCTTTTACACACAGAAGCTTTTACACAGAGACCCTTTTACACACAGAAGCTTTGACACACAGACCCTTGTACACACAGATATATCTACAGAGAAACGCTTTTACACAGAGACGCTTTTACATAGAAACATCTTCACACAGAGACGTTGCGGCATGTTTTTTTTTACCTTCATTTGTAAAGCCGAAAAATGGTCAAATAGTTGGTGTTTTCGTGTTTTTTGAACAGTCTCGGAGCAAAAAACTCCGGAAAAAAAAAACGTGTTTTCTGACGCCTCGCAAGCCCGGAGCCTTTTGGAGCCAGCTTGTGGGACTTTCGCGGCTTGCGGGCCGGCAACTAAAAGGGCCTTCTGGGATCAAGGGGAAACGGCCATTTTTAGCCAAATCCTGGCCGAAGCCGTTTTGGAGCCAGCTTTTAAGACTTTCGCGGCTTGCGGGCCGGCAACGAAAAGTGCCTTCTGGGCTCAAGGGGAAACGGCCGTTTTAGGCCAAATCCTGGCCAGGAGCCTTTTGGAGCCAAATCCAGAGCAGAAACCTGTTGGAAGCAATTTTCTGCCATTTGGCGGCCATTCGGCCGGCTATTGCATTTCGCTTTTGGGAAGAACGGGAAACGGCTACATATACAATTTTAGAACGAACAGCAAGCAAACGGAAGCTATGACCCAGCATTGTGAAGCTAAAAACACATAGACCCTTTTACACACAGACCCTTGCAGACTACACACAAACGTTTTTACACACACAAACGCTTTTACACACAGACACTTTTTTACTTCGACACACAGATGCTTTTACACACAGACCCTTTTGCAAGAGCTTTACACAGAAACACGTTGACACAGAGACGCTTTTACAGACAAACAGCTTCACACAGACACGCTTTTACACACAGACGCTTTTACACACAGACCCGTGTACGCAGGGACAGCTTTACACACAGACGCTTTCGACACACAAACATCTTGACACAGAAATGCTTTTACACAGAGACCTTTTTACACACAGACACTTTTAAACAGAAACCTTTCTACACACCGACCCTTTTACGCATACACAAAATGTTGCACACAGACCCTTTTACACACAGACGCTTTTACACACAAACACTTTTACATACATACGCTTTGACACACAGAAACTTTTACACACAGAAGCTTTTACACAGAGACCCTTTTACACACAGAAGCTTGTACACACAGACCCTTGTACACACAGATATATCTACAGAGAAACGCTTTTACACAGAGACGCTTTTACATAGAAACATCTTCACACAGAGACGTTGCGGCATGTTTTTTTTTAACCTTCATTTGTAAAGCCGAAAAATGGTCAAATAGTTGGTGTTTTCGTGTTTTTTGAACAGTCTCGGAGCAAAAAACTCCGTTAAAAAAAAAACGTGTTTTTTGACGCCTCGCAAGCCCAAAACCACGGTAGTTGCGGTGTTTTTTTGCTCCTGGAACCAAAAACCACGGTGTTTACAGTGTTTTATGGCCAGCACCTAGCAAAAACAGTGGTATTTACGCAGTTTTCAGCATGTTGCAAGACGTACTTTTGCCAGGCCAAACGCGCAAAAACACCGTAAATTACAGTGTTTCGGCATTTGAAACCCGATGAAAACCGTCAAGAACCACCAACAAGGTAAAGCCGAAAAATGGTCAAATAGGTGGTGTTTTCGTGTTTTTTGAACATTCTCGGAGCAAAAAACTCCATAAAAACCGTGTTTTTTTGACGCCTTGCAAGCCCAAAACCACGGTATTTGCGGTGTTTTTTGCTCCTGGAACCAAAAACCACGGTATTTACAGTGTTTTATGGCCAGAACCTAGCAAAAACAGTGGTATTTACGCAGTTTTCAGCATGTTGCAAGATGTACTTTTTCCAGGCCAAACGCACAAAAACACCGTAAATTACAGTGTTTCGGCGTTTGATGAAACCCGATGAAAACCGTCGAAAACCACCAACAAGTGTCCAAAATGGAGCATCTCGTTCGGGCCCAAAAAACCAGGCAAACGGCAGGTCGGTTTTTGAGCTCTCCCCCCCCAGGCTCCGGCCTCACCTTTCAAAAACGGACCGATTTCGGGCCTCCCCCCCCCACACCCCCTAGATTAGCTTCGCTTCGCTTCGCTTATACCTATACTCAAGCCCAGGCCTTCGGCTGGCTTTCGTGATATTCATATTGTATGTCATGTCATATCTGTCAATATAGATATGTCAGATATATACATCCAATACTCGACTGAGAGATGGGCGTTACTTGACCAGCCACCTCATCAAGTGCCTCATGTGCATTGACCTCAGATAGTTGACAGCATCACCGACTTTCAGTGCTGGCTGCTTGGGAGGCAAAGTCTGAAGTCCAAGCGAAGTCCAAGTGAATGTTGATGCCTACAGTATCATGTTACATCTCACAGCATCTAGCATCATCCAATGTCATCCAACCCAAAGTCATGGACAAATCATCCGAAATTCTTCACATGGATGCCTTCACCAAAGCCTTCGTTGGATCCTTGCTGCTCCAGCTTAGCTGTGTTGCCGGACCACGTATCCCAAGAACTCCACGGCACTGGGCAGGTCTTCCTTTGACAGCGATCAAGGCGAAACCTGTACAGTGAAACTGATATATGAAAAAGATATATGGTTTACGAAAAAAAAATATGTGGTCTCTTCGTCCCATGATTTTGACCCATAAATCCGCCCACACCGCTTTGGCGGTGAAGGCGTGCTTATTGGGGGGCAACAGCAACACTAAATGCTCAATGACATTTGTTAATATAGCAGTCGCTATATCAGCTTTAGCTGGGGGGGGGGGGCAAAAACGGTTTCGCACCGAGACCAGACCCCAAAAACGGTTTCGCACCGAGACCAGAATACGGTGGTGTTTTCGACATTTTTCGAGGATTTTTGGGTGTCTGAGCGCAAGAGGGTATTGAAATGGAATTTTGGGTCATTTTGGTAGCTTTCCGGCAATGGAAAAACGGCCAAAAATGAAAAAAACATTGTACATAGCAAGATTTTGCAGGGTTTTTGGATGCCAGAGCATTGAAAACACTGCAAAAACAAGTGTTTTGGACTGACGTTATAGCAAAAAACGTGTAAATTACCGTATGCTTGACTGGAAACATTACAAAAACACTGTCAAAAGCAATGTTTTGGAAGGATTTACTGCCTTTATGGCAAAAAACGTGTAAATTACCGTCTGTTTGACTGGAAACATTGGAAAAACACTGTCAAAAACAATGTTTTGGAAGGATTTCTTATATATATGTTGGAGTTGGCTACCGGCATTGGCACATGGAAAAATTGAAGAAAACACTGTAAATAGCGGTATTTTCAACGGTTGGGGAGATAAGGGAATTGGAAGCATTGTCGAACATGATGTTTTCAACCGGTTTTATGGCGACAAAAGTGTAAAGTACCGTGCTTTGAAGGAAACCATTGCAAAAACATGGAAACACATTCAAAGAACACGGGATTTGGGGGACTATCTAGGCGTCGTTGTCTAGCTATTTGAAATTCCGCAGCTTGGAGAGCCTCCAAGGGAGGGAAAAGTGAAAATTCCATAGCTTGGGAAGCTGTCACGGCGGGGAAAAGTGAAAATTCCCTAGCTTGGGAAGCCCCCACGGGGGGGAAAAGTGAAAATTCCCTAGCTTGGGGAGCCCCCACGGGGGGGGAAAAGTGAAAATTCCCTAGCTTGGGGAGCCCCCACGGGGGGGAAAAGTGAAAATTCCCTAGCTTGGGGAGCGCTTGACGGGGGGGAAAAGTGAAAATTCCGTGGGGGGAAAAGTGAAAATTCCCTAGCTTGGGGAGCCCCCACGGGGGGGGAAAGTGAAAATTCTTAGCTTGGGGAGCCCCCACGGGGGGAAACCACCCTTAGCCCCTCTCACGGAACGAAATAAACCTGCGGTGTGGGCGGCCACCCCACGCGAAGCGGGGTGAATATCATAAATGTTCATTCAGGTCAATTATTCACAATGTGGAAATAATTGGATGCTCACCGGTCCTGCTGAATCTCATTTCCCGAGGCATTCCGAAAGCGATTGAAGACCATGCGCATTCGCTGGACTGTCGCCTCCGTCTTGGTGCATCCAAAAAGCATTTTCTGGAGTCATGTGCAGCTCTAACACCCCTGTTTTTGGACCGCTTGCATGGCAAAAGAAATTTCGGTCCACGCCACTTGCTGATAGTTGGAATACTTGTTATTTTACCATATTTTACCATGATGAGGAGCTTTAGGGCTTCATGGAAGGAATTCGATTTCTAGGAAGCACCTCAGAAGTCCGCAGACACCACATTTTTGGTGCTGGCATCAATCTCATGCTCACGATTATCATCTGGGAAATCTAGACCCAGATTTTGACCCTCAACTTCAGATCATGGTTGACTGGGGCCTCATCCATGAGGTCAGCTTTGCCGAAGTATGTATTCTGAATCTGGTCGATTCCTTGGAAGCTGATGCTTCCCCAGCAAACAGTGCAGCCGCGGTCATCACTCTCGTAATTAATTCTCACAGTGAATACCTCTTCATTGCAGTATCACACTATGAAATCACAGCCCTATGAGGCCCGGACGATCTTGCAGGTTGGGAAGACCATACTTTGCATCATCCCGGCCCTTGAGAGTTGGCAAGTGAGAAATCGAAGTAAAGATAAGGTCTACGTCCACTGCTTCGTCTGAAAATTTCTTAGAAGACTTACAGCACTTGTCTTTATTTGCATAGCGCAGAGGCGCAGAGTGGAAATAAATAAATATTGTATTATTATATTTTATATATATTATATTATTATATTATATTATATTATATTATATTATGTCATATTATGTCATATTATATTATATTATATTATATCATATTATGTTTTATTATATTATAGTATAGTATATTATATTATATTGTATTATATTATATTGTATTATAGTATATTATATATATTATTCTATATATTATATTATATTATATTACATTATATTATAATATATTATATTATATCATATTATATCATATGATATTATATTATATTATATCATATTATATATTTATTATTATATTATATTATATTATACTATATTATATTATATTATATCATATTATATATATATATGTATATTATATTATATTACATCATATCATATTAAATATATATATAGATATTATTATCTTATACAATATTATATTATATTATATTATAATATATTATATTATATTATATACATATATTGTTATATATATTATTTAATATAAAATATTATAATATATTATATTATATTATATTATATATTATATATATATATTGTTATATATATTATATTATATATAAAATATTCTATATATATATCTATATTATTATATATATTATATTATATATATTATATCATATATATTATATCATATATATTATATTATATTATATTATATCATATCATATTATATTATATTATATTATATTATATATATATATATTATATTATATTATATATATATATTATAGAATATCATATTATATATATATATTATTATATATATATTATTATATATATATATTATTATTATTATTATATATATATTATTATATAATATACATAATAAATATTATATTATATAATATATATATACAATATAGATTATATTATAATATATCCAATATAGATTACATCATAATATATACAATATAGATTATATTATATTATATCATATTATATTATATTGTATTATATTATATTATATATATTATATAGTATATATTCATCATATATATTTTATTATATTATATATGTTATATATTATGTTATATTAGTATATTATATTATATTATATTGTATTATATTATATCATATTGTATTATATTATATTATTATATATATATATGGCGATGTCTAAAAATCAAAGGACGTAGATGTGCTTAGTAGCAAGGCCCAGTGTTTTCCGCCAAAAATGAATGTGGAAAATGGCCCTAAGAGGCAGGCATTGTTAAGAAAATGAACCCGTAAGCACAGTGCATATCGGCAGTGCTGCAGCCAAAGAACTGCAACATTAGACCGCATCGAAGTGGTTCTTGCCAGGCGCTTCTTGCTGCCTGGTCGAACAGGAGGAACAGAGAACTTTTTTTTTGGCGATCAAATGAGTTCTCTGAGAAGAAGCTTCTAAGAAAAGAAATTCGAAGAGCCAGCAAATTGATCATTTCGTACATAGTGTCCAGTAGCTTTCTGCTTCTGTCCCAAAACTCTCAATTAGTTTCATTTGTTTAGGTAAAGAATGGGAAAGAGAAGTCATCAACCCCGCTTCAAAGCCGGCAGCAAAACGGATTCAACTAGCATTGCTCCACCAGCTCTGAGCGCATTTTGGATAGCCACTTTTGCAGCCTGATTTTGGTGAGCTTTCTCCGGAACCTTTGGAGAAGCGGAGCGGTGGAAGCAAAAAAAATATCCGAGTCGAAGTTGGCAATTTCAAACAAAATAGACTTCAATCATATCACACGATTGGATTGACGCGTTTTAAAAAAAACAGTCTCTCATGGAACAAGGCTGTGACGCAAATTCTCTTCTCCAAGCGTCCTGATAAGCGAGGATGCGGATGCGAAAGCGTGTTTTTAAATGTGTTTAATGATTAAGGAAAAATAATTAACTCACTCTTGAGAGTTCGCTGCTTGCTGCAAGCCACTGCAAGCAGCAAATGATTCATGCTTTTGATGCTAGACCTCCCACTATGCCAGGGAAGCACCGGACCCTCCACCCATCTCCGCCACTAGCACCTTGTCCCCAGTGGTGAAGACACGGGAGTCTCAGAGACCATGGAGGTGTGGTCAATGCTGGCTGTCACGTCGCCAACCGCAACTGGTTGGAATTATGAACAGAGGCGTCTGTGGGGACTGGTAATGCCAAAATTCCCAACATTCGCATTACCCACCACATCATCTGCGAAATTACCGGAAACCGCAGGTTTGTCAGCCTTTTCACCTCAAGATCAAAGGCCCCGACATAGTCAGGCGTCTCTTCCTCCTTCATCAACCCGTGGAACGTACGGCTGTGCCATGGTCAAGACATGGAATATGGGGTCTGGTCATCCACCATCTTATATTGGGAATTCTTATCATAGTGTATAGATTAATCCCTATGGCACATTGGATCTGCCCAGAAATTGGACAAACCCATATGGGGGGTTCCATCAATGGGAGTGCCCAAAATGGATGGTTTATGATGTAAAAGCCCATGAAAATGAATGATTTGGGGTGACTTTTTTTATAGAAACCCTCATATAGTTTGATGCAGATGTCAGCCTCCAAACTTCTCTGGCAACTGCCCAAAGCTCCCTGCCAGTCCTGTCTCATCTCCTCCTCCAGTTCCTTCATCCGCGTCTCCGCGGCTCTCTTTGCCTCAGCGTCCGCCTGGAAAAATTGAAACAGGAAGGCCCAGAGAGTCTCTCATTGTAAGCTGTAATCACTGTAGTGCAAAATAGTGCAAATTACTTTGTGGAGAATCATAGCCCTCCTTCGCCACATCAATCTTGATAATCTTGGGTTGCCGGATGTTGCCGGCCAGAAAAAAATGCAGCGGAATGGTTTCCAACCTCAGGGACACTCGCCAAGGTAGCCCGACTCCATGTGTCCATTGCAGCTTGCATTGCTGCTTCCTCCATTTTGTGCAAGGTGTCAAGTCCATGGTCGCACATGAGGGAAAAATCAGCATGCCATCTATGGGTGTGTGCAAAACAAACCTCCAAACCAGCTCCATGAGAAGAAACAATGTTCATCAGTGTCCAACAAAGAAAGACCCGAGAATTTTATGCATCGAGAATCTTCTGTCTGTGTCACTTGTAGGTATCTGTTTTCTGAGGTTAGTCGACTCGACTTTTCAAAGTGTGCAAAACCCCTTGCCACAAAGAAGATCAAATTTGATTTACACATTCACCAATTAAAACTTCAAGTGTCGACTGATGTCCTCAGGTCGTCAACTGAAGCAATCCCTGTGGCCCAGTTCATGTCTCAGTCCTTTTCTTTTTTCTTCTTCTTTTGGTAAGCCTTTCTTGATGCCTAGCCCCAGGAATCTGCACAGCTAACTACGCTTCCACTCTACTCCGCCAGAAGATTCCATCATATTCCATCTCTTGAAGCTGCTTTACATGTTAAGTTCTTGTTTGTGGTTGTTCATAAGTTTCATAAGCCTTGAGTACCAGCCCCTAAAAGCCTGGGACACTTAGCTACGTCAAAAAAAGGATGCCACGCAATCTTCTCCAAACCTGGCCTTCCCAGCACCTTAGCCGCTTTGTGATTGGGCCGTTGCTGAGGCTGCTGTGTGACGGACAACAAACAAATCAGTGAAGCACAGTTCCAGCGGTCTAATTCGTGGCCGATCATGAAATGTGGCATTGGTTTTTTGAACTCTCAACTCTCAACTGAGCCATTGAACGAGTTGAGGGATCATCTGGCCTTCAGTGGGCTGGATGCTCAACAGCTAAAGCCCGTGAGTGTGAAACGCATCCGCACCTCAAATTCGGCCTCAATGTTCTGAACCTTTGATCCTGTTCAGATTCATCCGATCCACCTTTATCATCTTTTATCATCTTCCATCAACAGGTTGTGATAGCAGCAATGTCACCTTTTTCTTGCCGTTGGCTCATGGGTTCCTCCCTCGCTCCACCGCATCTTCAAATCGTCGTCGCATCCGGGTCCAGCTGCACCAAGAAGGGAACCCATTGAAGCCCATCGTCCACTCCACAGAATCCGGGTTGCAAGGCTGGGCGCAAAGCACGGCGAACCAAACCTGACAAAAGCATCGCAGGAAAATGGATGGAAAATGGATGGAGAATGGATCATCTACTGTACCTATCTCTGAGATTCTTTCAACAATGTCCTTGTCAAAAAAAATCTGTTTTGTCCAAAAAAATTGGCATTGTGCATGCTACCATGGGCTTGTCTGAAAACAGGGTACCCCAAATGTTCATGGGTTGAAACTTACTTTGTCCCATGAAAATAGCCATAAACTAACTACAGTAGGGTGTAAATCCTCCATTTCAGACACACCCATATGCTACCCATGTCTTCAAACAAAAGTCCGGCCAATGACCTTGTCCTACAGGCAGAGCGTTCAACCCATGAGACGTCCAGAGCGTTGCGGCACCGACACGGGAGCATCACGAAGCTGCCGGGCAATGGCCATGAAGAGACAAAGTAAACCCACCACCTGCCAATGTGAAGCAATCGTTGGAATATGTTGGAATATGTTGAAATATGTTGGAATATGTTGGAATCATATGCAAGATATTGCAGTGAACTGTAAGTGTATAGAATTTGATAGATGGAGATTGGATATTGGAGGTCCAACAAATTACTGTAATTGTATGTAATTGTTGGATATTGGATAGAAGCCTGCCAGTTTACATCTTATCCAAGATTAATTTGCGTGAACAGAGATATAGTGAGGTGAAGATGCCAAAGAAAATGAAGGGGATCTAGGGCCTAGGCCTAGGGGATTGAAATGGGTTTCAATGAAGAAAAATGAAGCCAAATTCATGCGAATTCTAAGACTTTGATGTGTTTGACTCTGACTGCGGTGGGGGTGGTGTAGACGGACTGGCCTGTGCTGCATGGTCCATATCCTTGAAGGGCGGCACGTGCACGAAGAGAACCGGAATATCAAAGGGTTTTGCAGCATGCAGAGAGTGGAAGAAAACGTAGTTGCACAGAAATCGACCTGCATCAGTGGACATTTCACATTTGACTCCTCTATCGTGCATCTCGGCCAGGATCTTGGGAAGATCGAGCGAGCAAAACATCACTGGAGCGGAGTCTGCAACCACGTCTTCGCCGCAGCATTGGTATCCTCTTTCATCCGGGACTCTGAAGGTGGCTTCATTGACTCCACGACATTCCAAACTGATCGCATCCCGGTTGGAAGCAACACCAAGGTGTAGGATCACTGCATCTCCTTGGCTTTCAGCCTTTCGTTGCTTTAGATGGTTCACGATCTCAGGAACTTCAGAACGACAGGATTCTGCAGCGACCTCCAAAACCTTCAGCCCTTCCAATGCAATGCCAGATTCATCAAATTCTTTCAACAGTTCTTTGTCCACACCTTCGGGCACCATGCCTTGCTGTAAGTACTTTCTAAATGTCTCACAAAGTGTTGAGGTTGGATTCTGCTCCACCCCCATGAATGGCCCAAAACCAGTCATGTAGATCGTGAGGTCAGAGGTCTTGGCACTCTTTGGAGGCATGAATCGCAGAGGACCAGAAAGGCGGCGTTGGTTGGGACCCACAGCGTTCACAACTCCAAAGCTGGCTGCCAGGGCCAAAGGTCGCAAACCTGCGCGGAAATGGCTTGTCATCGACGCTCAGTAGAGCATGACCCCAATATGTTGGGCCAAATGGCTGTCTCGCTGCATCAACATTGCAGGAACGTTGAAAGCTAGCTTCAAAGGAACAGTAATCGAACACAACACCTGGAACTTACAGACCAAAGACTGCAGTCAAGGTTGGACAGTCCATGACAGCAGAGGAGCTGGAGGAATCCTTCTGAGGCCCGGTCCTCTTCTCTGTAAGCTTTAGGCCTCAGATGCGATGCTGCACTTGTGATTCCATGAGCCCAAAGAGGTGACAACATAGAAGTCAGACCTTTGGTTGCTTCCAACTGTCAAGATGGTTCAACCAACCACTTTCAGCTGACCTGAATCTAGCAAAGCAGTTTCAAATGATGGCACTACACCCCTGGCTGCAGCAGCAATATGGCACCCAGGGGCAGCAGCATCACATCGCCACAGCAGTGACATCGCTCGGGACAGCACCCCTACAAATGCATTCATGGCATGCATGGCACATCATGGCAACCTGGCACCTACATTGGCAGCACAGCTGTACATGGCCTTTCAATCATCGCTTAATCTCGCTTAGAATCTACTGCAGTGTCACATGCTAAGGGCCGCTCAAATCTGATGTGCCGTCTTGGCGATCTCGAAGAGTGCTGCGTGTTCCTGCAATGGGGAATTTTCCTATGCAAAAACGGGTAGAGATCACACGCAGAGGCTTGAGAATTTCGAAAACAGGCAGATGCTCAGAACATGACTGGTTGTGCAGACAAAACAGGCAGAACGTGTTTGAACGCGAACCACTCTAAACCGCTTGACTCCTCAAAGGAATCCCTTCGAAAGCGCTCCTGCAAAGACTGTGTTACAAGTAAAATGAGCCGGCATTAAACAGAGGTATTTGAACATATTTGAAAATTGTATAGTATAAAGTAAAATGATTACAAGATGGATACAATCCAGGCATATCCAGGCACCTTCCAATTCCAGCACAAAAACAGACAACCACTCCTTCTTTCGAGGAGGATTCATACCAATGCCTCAAGTGCAACTTTCAGATTGAAGTCTTGAGTGTAAGTTGGCCTGCAGCTTGATCCCCGATATGTTCGATCTTGCAAAGTGATTCTGCGGTTGCACCTTACACACAATCCGTTAGAATTTATGGTGCAGCCAAATGTCGCCCTGCGGTGCCCAAGCTAGTGCTGCTTTTGGTGCCATCCTGGCATTTGCTCATGAGACTTCATAGTTTTTGGATATGTTTGGTTCATGATCGTTGGTTTCGATTCGAAGATTCTGACGCGATTCGATGGCACCTGGTACTGAACTTGCACATGCATGGCCCTTAAGGATTTGGTATTTCTCAGACAAAGGGGTCCTAGTGTATATATTTCACACCGCATTCGAAAAGTCCAACAAAGTTTATGACAGCACAGTACATTGCAGTAAATTTGGCTTCGTACTTTTGAGTAATGGAAGGACAAAGCCAAGCACAACAGCATCTTAGCAGGTTTGAAACACCAAGGCAGCATGCCAATGACAGGAATAGAGCCAAGCTATGGTTCTGTCCAGAATCCTCCATTCCAGTCCACGTTCCGCCCCCTTTTCACACCTCCATATCCAAAGTGGAGAGAGACAGCCTTGGAAGGCAACCCTTCTGAGTTCTTGCCACCGCTGAAAACCTGCTGGCCGATCTCTTGTACATGTAAAGTCGTCCTCCAAAGCCCACATACCAGAAGCTTCGACTCCATCCAAATGTTTCCCAGTCTTACTGCCAGTCTAATGATTATGTGACATGTGTGTGTGTGCGCGCCACTTTTGGTCCTTCTTCAGTGTTTTCAACTAGGGCATGCAAATAAATAATAATAATTCACAATGTTGAGCTCTCAGCCTCTGCAAAAGTCGGTTACAAGCCTAGTTGCTACACCAAAGGGTCAGAATCGGGCAGCCAGGAAGCAGGTAGTGGTGCATATTTTAAGAAAAATGTAGGGTTCTTCTTTGAATTTTTGAATTCTACCCAGGTACAACAAATTCTGTCTCTGTCCATTCACCTTGAATGATCGAATTTGCACGTCCTAATCTAGGGTCTGTTTGCCGGCAAGATCACTTGTCATAGTAGCAAGCGGCTTGACGGTATCCGTGCTTTGTATGAGAAATTGGTGCTACAAACTACAAACATGTACAAACTGAAGCTCAGAGGAATCTCCGTCGTGTTGCATTGCGGACCCATCCAACATGCTACAGTATGTATTGGCACTCCAAATCCTTCGATTCTAGATTCTGACGCTCAGTTCGGCCACCATGTTCTCAGTGAGCAAAGCTGGGGATCCACTACTTTACGTCTCCTTGGGAGAAGCTTGTCTGACTCAGATCTGCTCATCTGAAACCTGCAGGTTTTGTTCTCACCCTGTCATTTTTCCAGGCATCTGTTGTTGCTTCATCTTGAATTTGGAGCAAACTTGACGGTTGGTTTTGCCCGTCCCACTTCCCTCAAGACTGCCTAATTTACCAGGTCATTCAAAGCATGTTGTTGCCGAGACACACCGTTTGGGTCGCAGTTCATTTAAGTTCAATTTGGGTTCATCGCATGGGTTTTCAGTTACCTAAGGCATCCTAAGGCCTAAAGCTGATTTTCTGAAAATGTGCTTGTGACCATCGGCCAACATGCAAATCGCAAGACAACATGAAAGTACTGGACCATTACCCCACTTCCCGTCAGATTCCTTTGCCGAGGTCGAAGCCTAGACGTGGACCACGGATTGAGCAAAGACCCTGTGGATCGACCTTGAGGCAGTGGCATTCGAAGGTTTGGATGTCCGCAACGGCATGCCCAAAAAGGACACGTCTCTTTTCGAGCTGATGCAACGTGCTGTCACTCAAAGTCACCATGTCGGGCCCGCGCTCCTCGTGGACTTAACAACACAAATGAACCGGGCAGAGCACTATCCACGAGTTTTGAACCAATTGAGTGCTGTACTGGCGGCAGTGGCTGCAGCAAGCAGCGAATCCGTCGCAGAGAGGTGCTTGTCATGCCTCGTCCACAAATCCGATGCCCAAAAGCCAACAAAGAAACAGGATCTAAACAGGATCTTCTGCGGGGCTTTGAACAGGATATTGCTGCCTGCCAATGCCCTCACACACCCATGGGATCCCATGGGTATCTCTGTACTGCCAGAATTCTACCCTTAGCCTCCCAATGCTTGGGCGCCCAGCAAGAGCGGGAGTTTTACAGCGCTTGAAGTCATCAACACACCTTCGCGCTTTTGGAGCTGATGTCAGGACTCTTGACTGGAGAATGTCCAGGAGGACATTTCCATTACCCTCAGCATAAGAAAACGAGGCTATACAAATCTATCATCAGTCGGCAAATCTTCAAGCCTGTAGCGTGTCGAAGAGTATCAAATGGTCGCCTCAGCACCCGAGAAATGCATTGGAGGTCCGTCATTCCACTGCTCCACATACAAGAAAACACCTCACATGGAGGTTCAACAAATGGAGGACTTGCTCTCGTCTTTCCTTTTTCAAATTGTGCAGACCGGCTGGCCGAGTTGATGTGGTGCACTAAAAATACTAAAACTGCGAATGTGGGATCAGAGGCTTTAAGGCCAGAACGTCTCCACGCTCGGCAGCATGGGCACCTACACTCCAGACCCCATAAAAAAGGAAGGCCAGTGCCAGTGCGATCGGATGTTGAAAGGTTTTCCTTCCTGCCTTGCTGCCCGGATGTGTTTGCCGAGCACCTGAGCCACAGCTCGGTGTCTAGTGTCTGATTCCGCTGGTTCTGTCATCACTTAATTTGTTTCATCTTGCTCTCCTCGCAAATGCACCTAAATTCATGTCATCCTCTCCGACCTGTCGGACAGGATCGATTCAGCGGTCATTTGTTCAAAGGACTCAAAGAGACTGTGGGAACTGAGAACCTTTGAATTGTCTGTTTGCCAGCATGTGCTCTGCAGTAAGGTCTGTAATTTCCGACAAATCTGGCTGGCCTGATAAGCTGAAAAAAGCCTTTCTCGCCTCAGAATTCAATCACCCCCAAGTGTCCTAGCTGGGGTCAGTAGACAGCAAGGGGCCAAAATTTACACTCTGTATGTCACAATGGAAACACCACTGCAAAAAAAAAATGCCTATGGCATGTATGGCCATGGCTGTGGATCTTGCTCCTCAGCACAAGTGAAACTGCAGACTCTGAGCTCGGCTCTGCCCCATCACAACATGTGTCTACCAGGACTTAGCATCTACTCTTGGCGCCACTCGCCTTGGATGGGTGATGGAACCTCTGCCAACATGGTTCCAGGTTTTCACTCTTCTCCCAGTCCCCCTGGTCCAGTGATGGTTCAGTCTGACATCGTGGTGCTTATCCAAATAGAAACCTCAACTTCATCATTTTTCATCACCCTTTCCTCCCACTTTTTGGCTCAGGCACATGTGCAAAAATCTGAGCGACGCCGCACGGGGCACTCTTGAACAGAACGGCAAGGAAAATCTCATGCTGGGTCTGCAAGCCATAGTGTTGAAAAAACTCAGTGGGAAAGAAGCACTGTAGTCGATGGGAAAAGTCTGCAAAGGTTCCAAACAAAGATGCGCAATGCTAAAATGTCCAGCTAACTCTTTGCCATGAACAACTCGCAGAAAATTGAAAACTCGAAAGTGTTTTCTCTTGACCATGAAGTGATACTTAGCCACGAAAATCTACGCCTGAAAAGAATATACGCACACTGACAGCCGTTTTTTGCTCATCAACGCAACAATCCAAAACAAAACTAACTGCCCATGCAGCACGTTTTTCTCTCCAGCCGCGGCAGACTTTGAACATCTGATGTGGCGGCAATGCCATGATGATGCAGCCGCTCTCGCATCATCTCGGCAAAGGTGGACCACTCTCTGAAGCTCACGCCTGGCGGGATAGGCAGCTTGTGGTGAGGTATCAAGAAAAGTTTTTGGGGGTGTTCACACATAAGCCCTTCGTGAAGGTGAAAAAAAATGAAAAACTAGCATCAAAAAAGGATGCATTGCGGTTTCTTGATCTATGACGTCTGAACTTATTTCTTGCTTGAACAACCATGATGCCTTTTCGATCAATATCAACACTTTAATGAACAGCCAAACCCATGAACCGTGCAACCAAAGCACCTCCAGCAGTCTGTGCCTGATGTCACATGGTGTGTAAATGAAGGTGTAAAATGAAGCGCCCGTGAATGCCTGTCGTGTCAGTGTTCTCTTACTGAGATGAAGACTCTGTTTCTCATCTCGTCTGCTGCCTCTGACAGAAGGATAGAAAGCTTGACAATTTAACGGTCAGATGCCTCACAACTATCTCAAAATCCCACTCTTCCTTTCCAGTGAACCATGATTCTCTCATTCTCTCCATCCAACCCATTCATCCACGCATTTCTTGGTTCCCTCAGTGTCTAAGTCCTGAGTCCCGGACCTGACTCAGCTCTCCCAACTCATTGGGCAAGGTGGGGGTGTTAGGTGACTTGCCCAATTTGCCACGTCGAAAGCTGACCGACATCCAGTCCTGCCGCTAACAGACTTTGAAATTCGGGCTAAGTGGCAAACATCGACATTGACAGGTTTCATCTCGGCAATTCCCCCTTCCCGAGCATGGCAATTCCCATCAGAACTGTTGCATACCTCCACTGGCATTGCGAACTCGTTGACTCTCACCACCTGGGCCATGTCAAGCGTCTGCCCAAAGCCAAGGAACTCGGAAGTCTGCATACGTGCCATTCTGTGCCTCTGTCTCAAAGTCGGATGACTTGCAAAGCCGCCACAGAAAGCGGGGAGCACCAGGCTTTAGAACATTGTCAGCCTCAGTGTGCATCGGTGCGCTTTGCAATCTCTACTTGATCCTAAAAACAGGCTCAAGAAAAGTTCAAGACCTGGTGGGCAGGCTCACAATTCCAGATGTTCCAAGACATCACCAAATGCTGGGGTGCAAACCACGATGACTGCCTGTGCATTTTGTTTTGGCACAGAAGGACGATGCTGGCACATCGTTCTCACGGCACGGCTTGACTCTCCCCACATGTGTACCCGCCATGTAGTGACATTCACTTCAATGTAGGAAGATTGTGCCTCGGCGTTCAAAAGTTCCAAACGCTCCAAAGTTGCCAGATCTTCCTGACGCCACCAAAGAATCCCAGAAAACAAAACAAAATGATCATAGATCATAATGATGCGTCGTTCATCAATCAATCCTTCACCCGCGTCCGGGGACATCCGTGAAAAAATGCACTGTCAGGTCCTCATAGCGTGAGCCCCGCTGGTCCATAAACACGAAATCAAAGGCCTTGGCCACGTTCCCAATGCGGATCCCCCTTTGGTAATCCCTCACTGCGTCATCAAGAAACAACCATAGATGTACAACTGATGCACAACAGGTCATTTGCGCTGAAAATGAACCTCTCAAAGGAAGCACGAGGGACAAGTAGCCGCTTAGTTCTTTTCGGCATTTCAAAGCTATTGTAGGCACTCCACGTGACGCTCAAATCTGTCCGCCAGAATTGGAAACAAATCGCGGCTGTGTCCGGTCCAAACCTCGACAACTCAATTAGATGTTTTCTGTACTACAAAGTTCTACAAGTAGCTCTCCTGTTTGCCATCCAATCTCAAGATTTACTGGTTTTCACTGTCTGCTTTCAAGTTGCTCAAAATATTGGAGGTTGCCCTAAAATTCTGCTGTCTCCTCAGTCTCGTACTTCAATATATGCTGACAGTCCAGCAAATGCCACCAGGGTTCGTGCGATGATGGCCTGATGCGGCAGGACTCATATCCCAGCTGAAAGTGTCAGCTACACTCTACCCGCTTGCCCCCTATCCAAAAGGACACATCAAACATCAAGCACATTCAGAATGATTCAGAACATTTCACAACGAAACTTCTGACATTCCTCCAGAGTGATTGCACAATCTCCAGCATCAGAAATTTTGAAATGAAAAGACTTGGCAACTGGCGTGAATCGGATCGAGTTCCAGAGTCCTTGGCGCCCCAACTCACCACTCAGATCCCCTTAAAGAATCTTAAAGACAGATCTTCGATCGGAAATGAACTTAAAGTGCTGCCAGATTTTTCGCCCATATTGGTTGTGAACTTCCCCATATCTGGATTTGTCCGAAAATATTGTATTGCATGTACTATATACACTGAAACAATCATTTGATTGTGCATTCGAATGTGAAAATGACGGTAAACACGGTAAACTACGGGATTTTAGGGAACCCATCCACATGTCCGATGTTCAGATCTTCTCCAAGCGTTCCAGCATCAATTTGCTGCCCCGCCATTGCAACAGTACAGCTCTCAGCTTCCCACACAACTTTCGCTCGTCTTGTAGCGGCCAAGCGAATGGCGGATTGCCCGCAATACGTGCCAATTTCCAGCCTTGAGAAACAGAACCAAGATGCACAAACTGTGACTTTTTCTGTTCATTGCAAAGCTCACTTGGTCTGGATGCAAAAGCTGGCAACAAACCAGGCCCTTGACAGTACTAGACAACCTCAAAGAAAGCAGCAACATAAGCGCCCTTCATCGCCCTTCATTGCTCCATTGATCTGTGTTGGGGCCTGGCAGTTCTCGGCAGGGCTTTGCTAACCGAGGAAACTTAGCGACGCCATGGTGGCGTAGACTGCACACGTGGCCCGCGCACCCTGATGTAGTCGGGGTCTTTGTCGCCAATCAACTTCCATCTTTCAAAATAACGCTCAACAAACCGTTCAAGCACTTTTGGAATGCTGTACACTCTGGTCATGACTTTGACGTTCCAGTCCACATGTCGCTGATGCTGTTTGAGGCAAAACAGTCGACGGTTGTCGTTGCTGTAGAATTTGTCTCTGAACTGCACTACCTCCAGCTGCAACCAGTCTGTCCTACAGGGATCCAGATTGCCCTCGTTCAAATCAGAGATCAACTTTGTCAGATACCCACCATTTCGAAAACGGGGCGCGATGCTGGCCTGTGTGAACTCAATATCCCTGACATTCAGTTTGCGATTGGCACTGTCAGTTGGATCGGGCCAGAGTTGATTCTTCTCCAATTTGTGGCGGTGCTCCAAGATATCATACGCCATTTCCGGATTGACCTGCTTGGCCACGGATTCACGGCCCTCCGGCCACAGGAAGGCTCGCACAGACGTCGCTTCACGTCGCACATCCACCTGATAGCTGTCTCGGTCTGGCTGCGGCATGACATGCAGATCCTCTCGTTTTTCCACCCATTTCAACTCACCGGTGAGAGGATGAAGTGTAAAGCTCCACACAGGAGACACTATCAATATATTGCACATCACTTTGTGATCTTGCAAAAAATCAAGGATCTTTTTTCTGTGTTTATCACCGCAAAGGTGTGATGCCAAATTGCCTGTCACAGTGTACTTCAGGCCAAGGTCGTGCTTCAAAACGCAATTACAAATCGGACATTCCACCATAGTCAGTTGCCTTGGCATGTCCAACATCTTTGATCTCAAGAGTTGAATCGGTCCATAGAAGTAGGTCGACCATGAACTTTTCTTCAGTAGCGCCCTTGCTGCCTCCTCCCTCGTCCAAGGTGGGCCAACTTTGCAACACCGCAGCCCTGCGGCATCGGCCGCTGCTTCAACTTCTTGGCAGTTGTCTACAGGATTGTTCATCAACTGTAGCCGCCGAAGCTGTAGACCAAAGCTCCGCCTGGCCCTGGCTTGGATTCCATCAAGCAGCTTTGTTGCTCCATTCGTTGTAATGCGGTTTTCATCCAAGTTCATGGAGTCCAGGCTGCTGTCAGAGTCTTCCACTAGCCGGAGAAACCGTTCCAGAAACCAGTCATCCAAATCGTTCATGGATAAATCCAGGTCACCTGTCAGTCCTCGGCAGCCCATGTTGAAAAGACCCTTCAGCACTTGCAGGCAGCGATCTGAGCTGTCATGCTTCGTCTCGTAGGTGCCTTCACTCCACCAAAGGCCTTGCAGTCGAACAACCGCCAGAAATCCTTCGCATTCAGCGGCATCAACCACCTTGAAGATCTGTTCTAAAATGGCCTCAGGGTCTGCACCCTTTTTATCATACCGGGCTGCTTCTACATACAGGGTGCCAGAATCAAAAAATGCGTTGACGCCACCATCTTTGGCCTGACCAGGGTCTTCGGATTGAGAGACAGGTTCACTATGTCTGGCTTCCTGCTGACTACGTCTGCCTTCAGAAGGATTTGAGGCCTGACTGCCGCTGTCCTGGTTGGCATCGGTACTGGGCCTGTGGTTGCCACTACCCTGGTTGCCGCTGCCTTGACCGCCCCGGTTGTGCGCGTGGCCACTGGTCTCCTTGATGGCTTTGGCAATACGAAGTCGTGTAGCCATGTTAGAGCCAGCGATGAAAATACCAGGTTCAGAAGAGATCTGTGCGAAATTCGTCCATTCGTGGGTGTCTATGACTTGAAAGATTTCTGCTGGAAGATCGCTTTTTGGGACATCCTCGTACCCTTCAACGTGTGGTCGCTTTTTCGACGACTTTATTGGCACTGACCAAGAAGCTACCCAGTACGCAGACACCTGCGTCCATATCAACTCGCCATCCATGAGTCAAGAAAACCAATACCACAGGTGTCCATAGGTCCACTGTTCTAGTGCAATTTGAGGGGAAGCAGCGGAACGGTTGCGTTACCTCAAGGAAACAGATCAAGCGCTACTTGGATGCATGACAATTCCTTGCATGACAATTCCTGTTCATACACACTCATCAAGCACCCTATACCCAACAATTGATTCTGCTGTAACGCCTCACAATTCACTGGGCACCATGGCAACAAGTTGCTAGCGGAGCGAGCTGCAGTGACTAAGACCTGGAATCAGAAAACCACAAGTACCCGCAGGCAGGGGCTAGTGACAATCAGAAGGTTGTGAGAACCATGTCTAGTGGCATGTCACAGCAGTTGCTCAACTGCAATGATCTTTGCAAAAAAATATGTGGGTTGGTCCGTTGGTGCCATCCGCGGTCACCTTGGCTTTGTCGCCTGCAGCCACCTTCAGCCAACCTTTGGAGCCTCCCATGGAATTGGAATTGGCAGTGAAGGGATACGCGACAGGCCCGAGAGGGGATACAAACGGTCCTTCCGTGGAAGTAATGAAACCTTTGGTAAACAAGCTGAGACGCAGGAAGGATCGGTAATGTGATGCTGAATTTGTGCCGGACATATTTAGGTTGCACAGGAAGATTCCTTGAGGAAGATTCCCTCAAATCCTGAAGACAGATCGATAGAGTTGATATGATTTGATTGTTCAAAGCCTCTCATCATCCACCTTTTCATGCCAACGGACATGAAATCCCCACGCCAGGTGTGCGCACACCAGGGTTCGGGGTTGCAACTGGTCATTCTCGCAACTTGTCGAGGTGCTTGTGTACAGCTTGGGAGGTTGTGATGCGATCTCTGATTCATCCAAAAAGTGGCATTGAATTGGTCAAGCGAAGCAAATGATTGGATTTGGAGACAGGAAGCCAAGTCAACATTGCCAGTATTGCCAATCCAGAAGCCCTTCCTGCTCCCCTAGAGTGTTCTCCTGAGCACAAGTGAATCACAACCTCGGAGTGCTTAGGCTGCTGCAAAATGCGCAACAGCCTCCTTGAACGCACCGCTGCAGGTTTCAGCAGGGACTCTCAAATTTCTAAGACCGGAAGTGCGTTCAAAACGCTCCGAGGAAAATGCAGGCGAACTTTGTTCCGCGGATCAAGTTTAGAATCGAGGGCAAGCACATTTATGCTGAAACTTGAACATTGTAGGCTCAAATCTACTCACAAAAGCAACATAGAATGCTTTGGAAACCTGTTGCACGTTCATGTTTGCTGCTCGCATGTTGTTCTGGTGTACAGCACTTGTAAAAACCTCTGTCTGCACTCACTTTAAGGTGGATAATGCGTCCTGCTTGTTCAGCGCGCTTGCAAGGTCATCGCAAGCAGTGGCCTGTTGGCCATGCAAAATCCATAGACAAGGCGAAGCAAATATGTTGAACTGTTGATTGCAAACAATTGCTTCTGCTCCAACGTCTCCAATGCTTGTATCACATGAAATTTTGAACCCCATGCAGATTAACCCCAATTGACCTGTGAAAGAAAGTTCTACGATTTGGTGGCTATCAAGATTCCCTTTTTGACCTTTTTGCCAGTGGTATCCAGTGGGCTCACCGACCCTCAAGGCAATAAGGTACCAATCTGTCAAAAGGCTGTGCAAAACGACCTCGTGCTCCTCTCTTTGCTGGAAATGCTCCCAGCTCATGGCCAAAAGCAAAAGGGATGCAAAGCACACCAGTGAAGCCAAATAGCGCACTATGACCAAGTCCTGAGCGGCGATACAAAATGACTTTGGGGCGTTGAATTTCAGCTGCCATCCAAGCAAATGTCAGTGCCTTGAAGTATAGCTCCAAGTAGATCCAAGTCAAGTTGGACAGAGTCCTTGGGGCCGCAAGCTTCTTGAATCGTGTTCACGTGTAACACATCATTGCCCTTGGGCTCAGGTCGTCAATCTTCCTTTTCATCCCACAATCCCCACCACATCCAGATCTTGCCGGCTTCCAACTGACAAAATCCCGATATCAAGATATCAAGCATCCAAAGAATCCAAACTCCATCACTTCGATCAGCTTGTAAGGAGAGGCCATCAGAGCTCTGCTCAACGGTGCTAGCAAGGATCATCAAGATCGTCACCTTGGAGGACTTGGTTTTCGTAGAACCAACGGGTGATTTGGGTGATATTGACAATGCAAACAGTCAATCTGTGGATGCTATACTTCTATAATTAATTAATTATGATATTCTATATCGTTTGATGCACATCTATTTTGAAGTTGACCTGCCATGACATGTGGGTTAAGTGGTCTTTTGTAAATGCGGTTTCAACTGCAGGTATTCAAGCCCTGACTTGTCAAGTTTTGGCAGAACTCAGATTCTGACCACCACACTGGCATTCGCTGCCCACAAATAACCACAAGCCCAGAAGCCATCGGTGGAAGACCTAACTGCTGGCACTGTGGATTTAAGAAGTCCCGACGGCTCACATCCAGCGAAGTGTTGCATTGAAGATCTTAGCAAAGTAGTGGAAATCTGGAAGATAAAACACATATAAACACATATTATCCAAGAGTCACCAAATTGTTCATCCAAGTTGCCACATGGCGATGTATCCCGAGTGACACAGCAGTTCTCGGACATTGGACTGCCAACAATGTCTGGAATACATCCTTGCCTCCAAACACGTCGCATGTGGGGAAGAACTGCAAATTAGCACCTCTTGGAGGCATTGCAGTTGCCCAAAAATGGATTGACACATGACTCTCCATGGGCACCGGGTCACCAAACCATCCAATAATCCACAACTCCAGAAACCGAGCCCTCACCTGCCTTGATGCCCCGCAGTACTTCTAGGAGCACTGCTGCCAACCACAATGCGGGAGCAAGGAAAAAGCCCTTTTTGCCTGAGTTGGCAGTTGTAAGTTGCAAATTCCCCAACTTCAGTGCATTCACCCAACAGCCACTGAATTCTTACGACTCAAAGCTGTCAATCTTGTCCACAAGAATTTGCAAAGTCCACCACCAGGCCAAGTCATCTTTCAATTTCAGTGGAGGTGCAATGTCCAATTCTGATGCCAACAGGTGCTTTGCCCTCAAATTTTGCCAAGGTTCAGTACTCTTGAATGACAGCATATCTCTTCTCATGGGTGCCAAACATGGGTGTCTGAGCCCATGGAGTTTGTTGATCCGGCTCATCCCAAAAGACCTCCGGTTGTGCCGACCGCGGTGCCGGTGGTGCCGCGGTCAACATGACAGTGCCATGACAGTCAAAACATGTTGGCACAGCGAGCCGCCTCATCTAGCATCCAAACAGAGTTCCAGAAAAGCCAGAAGGCCTAAGAGCCAAATAAACAGAGATGTACTGTACTGTTTTGATGTACTCTGTTTGGTGATGCACTGTGTTGATCAGCCTTCGAAACAACATGGTTTCTTGTGACATACCACTGCCGCTCGTTGCGCTTGTTGCAAGGAAGGTGGCCTGCATAGCGGAGGGAAACCAAACGCCCAGTTGTGTGCTTTCCTTGAAGTCCAGTGCTGCAGCAGCAGAGATCAAGACCAAGGCCAAAAACGAGCTCGGTATACAAACCTGCAGGGCCAAGACTGCTGCAGCCAAACCTGTTCATCAACAATGTCTTGGCAACTGAGATGCCTTGCGGTATTGTCAGTCTCTCCTTCCCAAGAGTACAAAAGTTGCGCAACCTGTGGTATCAGCAGGATCCATGTTGCTTCGCTCAGGATCCACATTCCTTCGCCGATGTATTTGATAATGATCAGCCTGGCGACATTGGCAACGGAAACATGACCTTTGGCAATTGCCAAGACGACACCATCTGAACCAAACATTGGTAGCGCTTTCCCGTCCTTGCCTCCTGTGCCATGCAAAGTCCGAGAAGGGCACTTTCTTCCCGCTGTCAACATTGATCAAGTCTGAGTGGAACGTGGTGGAGCCAACAACTTCATGGGACAATACGATTAATCCGAGGTCCCAACAAATAAATGTGTTCAGCCTACACCTTTTGATGGGCATAGGTGCAAACCAAACACCTCAGCCTCAAACAACAACTTAGCACAACATTAAACTAATAAACCCTTCTTGAGCTGGTGCCACTATAATTAATTCTTCAGCTACCCAGTATCAAACCAAGTTTGTTTGACTCAGGTGCTCCTGTTTTTTCTATCCCTGTTTTGTTTACCGGTCTGAAGGTCTACTCGTCTTCTGCCAAGGGACGCGTATCCATACGGGCTGCGTGTCGAACTCATCGAAAAGCCCCAAGCCACGCCACGTTCAGAACCGCTTTGCGCAGCAGTGGCCAGCTGCGAACAAATTACTGGGCCGTTCGCCCTCTGAACCGAAACAGTTGTGATGGCTGCTCATTTGCTGTGACTGGATAGATTTCATTCCTAAAAAAAAACACCCAAAGCCCAAAGCGCATTCACGAACAAAATGCTGCATTCACTTCACTTCATGGTTGAACTTTCTTGTCACACTCTATCGATTGGTGTAGAAGCTCTTTGTGATGAAACACTTCGACAAACGCAGAGTCTGCTAGGCCTGCGATCTTGAGACCAAACGTTTCAATCGCGTTGCCTTGAGAAGTCTTGTCCAAATTTCAAACAGCGCAGCGGTGATCTGCAATCCTAGAAGCAACTGGGTCTTGATCTCGGAGCTGTCTTCATTGTGAGGCATCTCTGAGACCAACACACACTGATTCAGGGTCTCCTTCTGTGGCAGTTTCCAAGACATGCTCCATCAGTCGGATCTCCTGCTATGTCAAAGCATCCAAGGGCCAAGGGCTTCTATTTTCCATCAGATTAAATTCTGATCATACGAGTTCTCATACAGTTCTATATACTTCTGCTAAATTCGTCTAATTCTCTGATTGATGCTACTGTCAAAGTCAACATGACGTGTTTGGTGTATTCAACCCCCCGGGAAAATAATACATTGAATTAAAATCGAAGTTCATCATCATCATCACCACCATCACCATCGCCATCATCATCCCCAAAATCCTAAGCCTTGAAAACCCAGATGTCTCCAATCCGGGTATCCCGCCTTGGCATAGGCTCTCCACGGCCCTGCGGCCGACAGCTTGGCTGTCGCTGTCGGGGAAAGCCGCGGCAATGGCTGGGTGCCGTTGAGCAAGGCCAGGGCGGCAACCAGACCTAGTGTGGTTAGTGTGGTTTACCACATGTTTCTCATTGGGTTTGTCAAATCACTTGTAAAATGGGACATGGATCAACAATGTGTCCGTGGCATCACAGAGGTAACTGAGTCACTTCTGTAACCTGGGCTACCCAGACTCGTATAGCCAGGCGTAGAGCCCGCCAAATCATTGACCGCGGACTCTAGAAGTTGCCGGTGCAAGTGGCGGAGCTTGTACTGTTCGCACCTCAATTTGCAAACAGAAAATGGCAGACTGATCCAGTCACTTGCCAGCTCTTCCTTGAAAGGATCAGCACCACAGTGTGGAGAGAACTCCAAGGCTTCAACGCCAACCCTTCTCATCCTTTTCTCCGTGTAAAATGTATGTCTTCTGAGCAACAGGACACCATGATCATTTGGCTGTAGATCTGAGCATCTGCGACCTGGTCTGCTTTGAGCCTATATGATCGAAGGACCAAACAGGCTGTGACTGCACCGGACCAAACATCTAATGATTTGCATGATTTGCATATCATTGGACAAGATCGCAAGAGCTTCTGTAGGCTTCACTCAAAAGAGACGGCCACACAAGTGAACGATACAGTATCTTGACGGTCGAATCCCCAATTTTGATGGGTAAATCCACATGTTTGAAGCATTTGAAGCTTAAATCCTCCGTATTCAGCTAAAATGGAAGCTTCTGAGCTTCACACTGGACGGGGCATGTCCAAGAAGAGTTGCAAAGCCCTCTCCCACTGCTTGGTCTCCTCGACCACCGAACGTAAAATCACATCGGAACGAGGCTTGCGCCGTTTATGTGCAATGCTTTGACCATGCAACACAAAATCAAGAGTGAAATTGATTGTGTGCAGTTCCCATGTACTTTGGATTCGTTGATGCATATTCTACCTTCGTGAACATTGTCGGCCCAAACTCATTGCCCATGGTTAAGGATCCTGAAACAGCAACCCATTGATAACCATTGTTTCATTTAAACATTCAAAAGCTGTAGATATATCCTGGCCGCCATCATTGGAACATCCCATGGCTCCAGCAAGGCCGTCAACACCGGTGCACTGCTGGTGGAGGTCGCATTGAGCTGCCTGCTGTGGATGTTGGAAATCTACTAACGTCAGTAATGTTAGTAAAACAATGTCATAAGCCACCCATATTTGGATGGTTTATACCAACCCATGTGTGCAAAATTGGGGATGGTTTACTGTTGCTTTACTAACATCATCTACTTAGTCTACTTATGTCTACTTCAAAGCTTTGAGGGACACCCTTGATATCTACACGGTGGTAGAATTGTTGAATGGGTCCTGCGCAGCTTGGCTTTTTGCAAATCAAATCACACTTGACAAATATCGACGAACGGACTCTGCAGTCCGAGGATGACTACTTCATGTCTCAGAAAAGCCTTTTGCTCTTCCCTTCACTGCAGCTCTTGCTAGTCGCATCAAAGTTGCCCCTCAGTTCTTGGAAGCATGCCCTTATACCTGACCTGTCTGATGGACTGCTTCAAGTGCGTTACCAAAAGGCATTCCTAACGCAGTCAATTTCCTTGCCACGCACTGCCAGGACCACCTCGAGCTTATTGCAGTATGTCTTTGTCACAGTTCAATACTTAACAATGGGTACACCAAGTAACATTTCCGTGCATTTCCATCCTCTGGGTATACTGTCACTCGCAGCCAGCCAAATCCAAAACAAGTAATTCATCGCAGCCTTCTGATTCGAACACCATGTGCGCAGATCAAGGCTACAATGGCAGCTCAGCCATACAAACATGTCGGAATTAGTCGGAATCTGACTCCATGTGAAAAGATGTATCGCGCAGTGAATCGCAACACCCAGCAAGTTGGCTACCTATCGACAGATTTCAAGTTGGTCCATTGGGATTGGCAGCTGAAGGCGGTTTTCAAATTCAGATGTCATGAGCAGGCAGGCCAAGGTAGTAGCCAGTGTAATCTACCTCACTATCTTCGTGGGTTTCAAGTGGTGCCGCTGGATTCTCCACACTCAAACTTGAGTTTCTGTAGTTTGAAAACAAGCCAAACTTGCCGCACTGTGACCATGCTGATGATGGCATGGATGGTTTAAACTTCACCTCAATAAGCCCCAAGGCATCGAAAAGAAAGCTGCTCCAGTCAGCACTGGTCACGAAGAGAACCTTGGATTTTTCAGACTTGCGCAGCATTTGGATCACCTCCACATACTTCTGCAATGTGCTCATCTGCAGATTAGGAGGGTCTGCCAAGATAAGATCGAAGCAACCCGCCCATGCATCCAGTGCTTCACAACCTTCTCGATAATCAAAAAATGCAAATTGTTCCTCCTCTTCCCAGCGACGATCGTACTCAAAAAGTACTGCTTTGGATTTATGGTCGCTTTCCAATGAAAAGTAAAGAGATGGAGCGGAGAGTAGTGCGATGCGTTGTACATCATCTTGGATGCACTGCTCCTGCAAACACTGCAGTGTGTGAGGCTCATACCAAAACTGTGCCAGCGTCTTATCTTCGTCGCCTAGTTGCACTGTGCTTGGCGCAGATTTTGCCATGGAAGCCGCTCGTTGCTATGGAGAAATGCTGCAGCTAGTTCAATCACTCTGCTAGTTTTGCTGAGTCAATAGCCTCCCTCTTTCCCTTGGCTACTGCAGGGGCTGTCTGTGCTCCCGCCTAATGACTTATTTTGTGGCTACCTTGGCTGAGAATCTAACCTGTGAGCTGAAAAAAATCGCGAAAGCGGCAGTAGAAGTCAGCCCCATAACATGGATGCTTCATGTAATAGGAGTGCCATCAGCCTTGGATTCTCCTTGACAGAAAGATCAGAAAGAGGATGTGGATTAACCAGTCGCTCAGTTCCATCTCAGCTACCCTCCCTGTTTTCCACTACAGCCGTGCCTCCTAGGCATACTCTGCAGCAAGCTCATGGCAACCTGTGCATAAGCTGCACAAGGCACGGCTGTGGCTGTGGCTGACTTTGCGCATGAAGCCCATGTTCCGACGTCAGTCAACCTGCCTCCCACTGGAGTCCCATGGCGCAGGCGGTCACCACTGAAGCACAAAACGGTTCATCTGGCTTCAGGTTCGCGCTTTTCCTCAGCAAATTCACAGACACAAATCTGCATCAGCACGTGCAGGTTCCGAGAACATCCGAGAACCCTTGTCCTGTACGACTTCAAAAGTTGTTCAGGACCAAACGAACGGAGGAACAGGAAGAAACTGGAAAAGCATGGAAAAGCTGACAACCATGACACCGCACCAGTGTGCTCCCACGCCCTCACCAGCTGCTACTACTGGCTAAGGATCTCAAGAAAGGACTCATGCAACAGCTCAGTTTGCGTGGCACCAATGGGATATCCTGTGACACCTTTGACCAAAATATCTCCTTCACTTCCTGAGCAAATGCCGCTGAGCCCCAAACACTTCAGAGAATAGCTCCAGTGCCAGGATCCATTGATGGCCACGTTGGCAGGCCTTCTGCAGCCCCCAGACCAACTTTCAAGTTGGACATCAGGGCATGAAGAAAAATATCTCTTCGATGTCGTCTACATGACATGTCATGTTTGCGCATGCTTGAGACTTGCATCGTTTTTTCTATGCCCAGCTGCACTGGCACTGGCGCCAAATGCCACCAGGTCTGCTTCCAAGCGCATCTGACCTCGAAGCTGTTTGATCACTATGCGCTTGGAGTCTGTTCTTCTCACTGTCCCGGACTTTGCCTTCGCACAGATCGCCCAAGTCCTTGGATCCTAAGCTCTCCACGAAGTTCCTGCATCGTGTTGTACGCTTCCATCCACTTGCTCCCTCTTGCGAAAGCAGCAACCTGGAGCACAGCAATCCGCTGGAGTTGGAGAATCGCAAATGTGAGGGAAAATCACTGGGGTCGGCACCAAAGAGGTCCAGCTGCGCCTCCAGACACGGCGAAAAAAACCCTTTGACTTCGACCTGTTTGACATAGATTGAAAACGTAGAGTGAGCACTTGAAAGAGTGCAATTGTTTCAGTTGTTTTCATGTCACTTTCTCCAGTTGCTCTAAATCTAGATAAATGAAGACAGAACCTTTGAACCTTTGAGCCACGTCACCCGTGCCTGTCGGGACCAAAGCTGCAATCCTTCATCGACTGAAGGATTCGGCTGGCCGAGCTCCAGCGACCTGGTCGAACACATGCAGCCTGGGCACGAAGTGGATATGGATGGTCTCATCCTGAGTGATTTCGAAGTCTGGGATGGATGGTTTTTAACCTTTCTGTTGCAATTATTGAAATGATATATAAAGAGATATATATATATATTAAGTGTAATACTTTGACATGTAGGGAAAGCTATGCGGCTTTTCCGGTTCTGATCCAAAGAAATCTCCGGAGCTAAGGTGCTTGTAGGTGACATGGATACTGGGGTTATGACACAAAACCCACGCAAAAGCTGTCAGTCTCCAAGATCTCCAAGCAAAAATTGCAGGACCTCAGGACCGGGCCAAAACAGTGTTGAAGGAGATCAAGTTGGGCTGGATTCTGAGCACGTGAACCTGACGCTCAATGTAAGGTCATATGCGGTCATAAGTCATGAGTAGATAAGTGAACAGAGTTGCAAGGAAAGCGTCATGTGGAATCACAACATATCAACGCCTCGTCCAGAAGTTGCAGAGACAAAGGCCACAGGTTGGCTTCTTTGGCCGCGTTCATGGTGGCATTGTAACCTGACTATTGTCCAGTTACCATTCAAGCTGCACTTTTGCATAAACACGGTTGATTCGAATTGATTCAATCAGTCATCATTGAAGCACTTGCTAGAGGCCCCGTTTCAGAAGATGTGCTGCCCACTGCAAGATCTCGTGCAAGCATCAAAAGGGAAGAACCAAGGTCTCGGCTTACAACATCGGGTGAAACCTACCACAAATATAAGTAGGAAACTGATCACGATAATGACTGGAATGCTTGTGAACCGTGGCTATCTATCTTACAAAAGTGTATTATGTGTACAAACCATTCATTTTCAATACTAAAAATGCCAAGTCTGCAGTGCAGCTCGCAGAAAATGCAGTTGGTGCTCTGGCCACTGCCCTGCCTTCTTCTTTGGCATCTCAGAGAGCAAATGGACAGCCGCAGCCCACCGCTGGCCCTTCATAGTTGCTTCAAGTCACATGCATCGCCATGCAGCAAACCGAGAAAGCCGAAAGGTCTGTTGTGACGCTACAGTTTCAGAACATACCCAATTCCCAGGAGCCAGCGCACTACAAGCCTGGGAGCAGCTACTGATGGCTGCATTTAGACCTGAGTGTAGACAATTGTTGGGGCAAAGCAAGAAGTCCAGTAGGACAAAAGTGGCACTGCGGCCTTTTACAGAGTTATCAACAAACAGAGGGTGTCCACAAATTCTAGTGGGTCTTGTGAGCCTCTATGCTTCCGTCATTGAGTCGTGAATGTATGTTCTTCAATGTCTATGTCTAAAAGTCGTGCATGTATGTTAAATGTCTATGTCTAGCACGGTATTGGTACCAGAGTATTCATGAACTAGAACGAAAAAATCGAAAAAATTGCCTCCAATCCGGGAAAGTCAGGTCATGTAAGCGGTTCATTGGGAGAATGTTCAATCACAGTAGCAAGTGTGAGAATGCACAGGCGACCTTGCGCTCAGCTTGTGCCCGCTTCAACCAGCAGTGTGTCAAACATGGGTTGGGTCTATCTGAAATGCCCAGCATTGTAGACATTTCCGAAGTTTCACTCTCTGCACACGAACCCCCAGGCGAAATGAAAACAACTTGGCAACGGACTGATGGCATCTGGCTGCAGCAGCATCTCATCCATTCGCCGCAGGAGCTCCAAAGCTGCAACCTCGGAAAAGAAAGCCATG